CAGTTTTGTAATTTTACTATTTTTGTATAGGGCTCAGTGTAGCTTTTTTTTTTTTTTTTTTTGCCTAGGGATGTTCAGTTGTTCCAGCACTATTTCTGGATTTTGGGCTCAGTTGCATTAATTGTTTATCTGTTACTTTACTGGTATGATACCACTTTGATTACTGTAGCTTTATAGGGACCCTTAAAAGCAAGTAGTATGAACATTCCAGACTAATTCTTTTTCTTTCTAAATTAAAAAAATTATTTGGGGGCAGATTTCTGGAACAGCAGTTATGAGGCCACTTGAAACACCCACATCCTATATCAGAGTGCCTACGTTTGAGTCTTGGCTCTGCTTCCGATTCCAGCTTCCTGCTAAACACACCCTGGGAGGCAGCAGGTGATTGCTCAAGTACTTGGGTCCCTGCCACCCACATGGGACACCCCGGTTGAATTCTCAGCTCATGGCTTTGGCCTGACCCTGTTCCAGCTGCTGCAGGCATTTGGGGAGTGATGGGAGATCTCTTTCTGCCTGTCTGTTTCTGTTTCCCTGCTTTTTTTGAATAAATAACTTAATTAAAATTTTCAAATATATTTGAAAGAAAGAGAGCTTTTGCTAGTTTCACTCCCCAAATGTTCATAAGGGCTGTGACAAGGCCAGGGGCCAGGCAGGAGTTCAATCCAGGTTTCCCACATAATTGGTAGGAGTTGTGAGTTGTCACAGCTGCATCCCAGCACGTACATGAGCAGGAAGCTGGAGTCAGGGGCTGGAGCTGGAGCTGGAAATTGAGCATAGGTACTCTGATACAGGACGCAGGAATCTTAACTGCTAGGCATGTCCCCATCCATATTCTTTCAAATTGTTCTGGCTACCTTCCTTTGTCTCCCCACATAAACTTTATTTCCTAAAAAGATTTATTCATTTATTTGAAAGGCAGAATGCGAGAGAGAGAGAGAGTCTTCCATCCATTGGTTCACTCACCAGATGGCCATAACAGCAAGATCTGGGACAGGCTAAAGACAGGAAGCTGCAACTCCATCCTGGTCTCCCACATGGGTGGCAAGGGCCGAAGTGCTTGGGCCATCATTCACTGCCTTCCCAGCACATTAGCAGGGAGCTGGATCAGAAGCCAGGCAGCCAGAACTTGAACAGGTGCTCAGTTCTGGGACGCCACATCGCAAACGGCAGCTAAACCTGCTGAATCACAATACAGGCCTCTCCCAGGTAAACAATACACTCAGTGTGTTTGTGTCTGCACAAATTCCTTCTGGGATTTTTATTGGAATCGCACTAAATCAATAGATAATATAGAGATAATTGTCATCTTAACCGTATTGAATTCTGTATTCCATGACTGAGCTATGTGCCTCTCTATAGGTTGTTTTGGTTGATTTTAGCAACACTTTGCAGGTTTTTTTTTTTTTTCTCTAAAGACTTGTTTATTTGAAAGCCAGAGTTACACAGAGGGATAGACAAAGAGAGGGAGAGATCTTCCAGTCCGTGGTTCACTCCCAAACAACTGCAATGGCTGGGTCTGGGCCAGGCGGGTGCAAGGGGCCCAAGCACTTGGGCCATCTTCTGCTGCTTTCCCAGGCACATTAGCAGGGAGCTGGATCAGAAGTGGAGCAGCCAGGACTCTAACTGGGCTCCACATGGGATGCTGACATGGCAGATAGTGGCTTAACCTGCTGAACCACAGCTCTGGCCTCTTGTAGTTTTTTTTTTTTTTTTTAAGTATACATCATTTTCTTTAAGTTATTATAAATTTAGTCTTTGAAAGTTCAATTTCCAGGCTGGCGCCGCGGCTCACCATGCTAATCCTCCGCCTTGTGGCGCCGGCACACCGGGTTCTAGTCCCAGTCGGGGCGCCGGATTCTGTCCCGGTTGCTCCTCTTCCAGGCCAGCTCTCTGCTGTGGCCAGGGAGTGTAGTGGAGGATGGCCCAAGTACTTGGGCCCTGCACCCCATGGGAGACCAGGATAAGTACCTGGCTCCTGGCTTCGGATCAGTGTGGTGCGCCAGCCGCAGCGGCCATTGGAGGGTGAACCAACAGAAAAGGAAGACCTTTTTTTGTATCTTGCAAACTTTTTTAACTCATTTATTAATTCTAGGAACTTTTAAAAATAGCTTTTTAAAATTCATGAATTTGTGTTTGGGATTTTCTGTGCAGACCTCATGTCATGTGTGACTCTTTCCCTTTCCAATTATATGCCTTTCTCCCTCTGCTTTTTTGCACTGATGTGGGCTTCCAGGAGGATTTGAACAGGAGTGTCAGAGTGTTCATCTTGCTTTATTCCTAATTTTAGTAGGCAAACATTGTCTTTCACCATTAAATATAAATATGAAAGAGATACAAATATGATATGAATATAGACTTTTATCCTTTATCAGGTGATAGAAGTTCCCTTTTATTACCAGTTTTAATTTTTTAATTGACTATAAAAGCCATAAATACCTATGGCATACTGTTTGATGTCTTGATACATGTATACATTATGTACTACTAGCTTTTAAACATGAATTGAGGTTGAATTTTGTCGAATGCTTTTTCTGCATGGGTTAATATGATCATAGGGTTTTGATTCTCAAATATATTGATATGACAGATTGCATTAATTGATCTTTTTAAAAAGATTAAGTGATTGATTTGAAAGTCAGAGTTATATATAGACAGGGAGATACATGGAGAGAGATCTTCCGTCCGCTGGTTCACTCCCCAAATGACCACAATCACCAGAGTCAGGCTGATCCGAAGCCAGGAGCCAGGAGCTTCATCAGGGTCTCCCACATGGGTGGTAGGGGTCCAGGCACTTGGGCCATCTTCCACTGCTTTCCCAGGTGCACTAGCAGGGAATTGGATTAGAAGTGAAGCAGCCAGGACTAGAACTGGCACCTCTATGGATACCAGTATAAAAGGCCGTGGCTTAACCTGCCACACCACGGTGCCTACTGCCCACTCCCCACTCCCCAGAATTTACACAATGGCCAGGGCTGAGCCAGATTGAAGCCAGGAGCTGTATCTTGGTCTCCCACACGGATGGCAGCGTCCCAAGAACTTGGACCAACTTCCGTTGCTTTTCCCAGGCCATTAGCAGGGAGCTGGATGGGAAGTGGAGCAGCCAGAACACAAACTGCAGGTGGCTTTATCCACTATGCCAGAATGTCAGCCCCATTAATTGAGCTTCAAACACTCACCCACTCTTGCCAGTAGGCCATGGTGTGTAATTGTTTTTACATATTTGCTGGATCTCACTTGCTAGTATGTTATTTGGGATTTTTGTTTTTATATTCATGCAGGAGGTTGGTCTGCAATCTCCTAGTATCTTTATTTGGTTTTGATATTGGGGAATGCTGGCCTCATAATATGTTGGAAAACGTTCCTCCTTAATCTATTTCCCGCAACAGATTGTGTAGACTCAGAATTATTTCTCTTTGATTTGTTCAGTAGAATTCACCATTGAAGCCATGTGGACCTCATTTTTTTAAAGGTGCTTAAGAAAACGATGAATTCAATTGCCTTACTAGATACAAGGCTTTTTTAAAAAGATTTTATTTATTTATTTGAGAGGTAGAGACAGAGAGAAAGGTCTTCCTTCCATTGGTTCACTCCCCAAATGGCTGCAATGGCTGGAGCTGCGCTGATCCAAATCCAGGAGCCAGGAGCTTCTTCCCAGTCTCCCATGTGGAGCCCAAGTGCAGGGGCCCAAGCACTTGGGCCATCTTCTACTGCTTTTCCAGGCCATAGCAGAGAGCTAGATTGGAAGAGGAGAAGCCGAGACTAGAACCAGAGCCTATATGGGATGCCAGCACCGCAGGCAGAGGATTAACCTACTGTGCCATGGCACCGGCCCCTAGACACACAGCTATTTAGGTTACCTGCTGCTTCTTTGGTAAATTTCCGTGGCTTGTAGTCTTTAAGGGGTTGATCCACAGCAGATGAAAGACCTCTCTCTGTCATTCTGCCTTCCAAATATGTATATGTATATGTATATGTATATGTATATGTATATATATATTTAAGCACACACAGACAGCCATACCCTTTCCTGGACAGAGTGTATGGCTGAGCAGGGGAGGCAGGTGAGTGGAGAGGCCGTTACACACATTGCGGTACACGCTTTGGTAGGGGAAGGGCAGTGCTACGGGAGATGGGGGCTGCCAGTCCCGACCTGAAGGTTTGCAGCTTTAAGGACACTACACTAGGATCCCAGGGAACCGAGGCCATGAGTCAAGCAAATGAGAACACTCATCCAGGCGGGGTGGGGGCTTGAGCCCCTAAGGGACATGGCAGGTTTGAGAAAAGAAACAAAGACCTGGATGTGGAAAACTCAGGAAACAGCAGGGCAAGTCACAACTGCGGAAGAGGCCAGACTGGAGGGTCTTGGAGGCCACTGAGTGGTTTTAATCATCGATGGGTTGTGACAGGACGAGATTTAAGTTGAAATAAGAGTAAGTGTGGTTTTGTGGGGAATGCAGTAGCGGGATGGCGACTGGAGGCAGGCGGGTTGGTGTGGTGCTTCCTAGACTAACGTTACCGAAGGAGAATGGGTGCAGGGGTTGTGGCAACGCAGAGGGGGTGAATGGACCCCTCTGAGAGACAGTCATACTCAATTCAGCGTAGTGGAGGCTCTGAGAATGAGAGGGAGGCCCCCTTAGGTCTCTAGCTGGGCCAAGAAGATGGGCGGTAGTTCCCTAAGCACGAGGACATACGGCGAACTCTGAATTTGCGGGGCTTGTAGGGACTGAGGATATCCAACAGACTTCTGGCCACGCTGGTCTGAAAACCTGGAGGGAGCTGGGACTGTCCGTCGCCTGTGGAGGGTGTCCTCTACGCTGGCCACTTAAGTTCTGCGACTTTTGCATCCTGTGGCAGGCGGCTCTTCTGCGCAGGCGCCCTGTACCTCCCCGGGCTGGTGGGCGGGGCGGGCCGGAACCTAAGCGGCCCTTTCCCAGGGCCAGGACGCGGCCTGGTGGAGGCGGGGCCGGCTGTTCCGTGACGTCATTAGGCTGCGCGGCCCGCAGGGCGGGACCTGAGCGCGACGGCGCGACCGGCGGACCTAGGCTGGCTTGTGGGGAAACGAAAGTGAGGGAGGCGGCAGAGGCTCTGGCAGCGGCAGGGCCAGGCCCGGCGGCGGCAGCGGTGGTGGCGACAGCGTGGGCCTGACCCCCGTCTCCGCTCCCTGGCAGCTCGCCCTGTCCCCTGAGCGTGAGTGCCGACGCGCGGCCCGGGGGGAGCGAGCGGGCGGGCGCGCGGGCTCGGCATCCTTCTCTCCACCGCCGCCTCGGCCCCCACCCGCAGTCGTGACTCTCCGCGCCTTCTGGCGGCTTCTCTCTCCCCCTCCTACCCCCCGCCTACGCCCGTTTCCTGGAGCTACCGCTGACATCTGTGTGCACACATTCACACACCCTGCGCCGTCTTCCAATGAGAAGACTAGCCCGGGGAGGTGGGAGCTCAGGTCTTCCCTCTACGGAGAGAGGGCGGCATGCGAAACCGAGGCCCACGGAGGGCAGACTGCAGAGGGGATTTGAGCCCCTTACGTGGGGGAAGCAGCAGGTAGAACCATGCCTCCCGCCTTCCGTTTGGAAGCTCCCCATCAGAACACACTCTGGCACGTGTAGTTCACTTGGGCACTGGGTAGCTGCGGGGCCGCCTTCTCTCGGGCCTCAGTCTCCCGTGCAAACGGAGACGGTGGGATTCGGTCATTTAGAAGGCCCCAGTCTAAAGTGATATGTTTGGGGGAGGAGCATCAGCATCTCCTGACTTTCACACAACTATTTTCTTGCACCCACCCATCCCAACACAACACGCATTGAGTGTCCCGTGTTTCTGATCTCTCCCTACAACTCAGACCGGTGCTTTTGAGTTTGCAGTGGTTAGAAGTAGGCTCAGTGATGGGTTTTCCCATGGCTCACCTCGAGAACCTTTCACGGGGGATAGAAGTCTGATTGCTCAGTGTCTCCCGTTCATCCTGCCTCCCCGGTAGCCTCTGCCTGTGGCAGTTAGGGGCTGCCTCCCAGAGAAGGAGGTGAGAGAAGGGGAACGTGGGATCCAGGGTTTCGTGAAGTTAGGGGGTCAGTGACACTTTCTTGCTGTGGCTGCTGTGGTCATGACATAAGGCCACTCATGTGCCCCTGAACATGCTTCCCAGCCCCGAGTTTCGCAGCACAGCTGGTCACCTACTCTTATTACTCCTTTTATTTATTTATTTATTTATTTATTTATTTTTAAGATTTATTATTTGAAAGGCAGAGGCAGAGAGAAAGGTCTTCTATCCGCTGGTTCACTCCCCAGGCCATGGCAGAAAGATGGACTGGAAGTGGAGCAGCTGGGACTCAAACCGGCGCCCATATGGGATGTTGGCACTGCAGGCAGTGGCTTTTCCCACTATGCCACGGTACTGGCCCCTTTACTCCTGTTTTGAGTCCGTTCTCTTTTCTGAGCTCTCTACAGCCATTCAGTGGTGTGTAAGCTGTGCTGCATTTACTACTTCTCTTGCTTGTTCATTAACTTAATTACTCCTTAAGATTTCAGGGTCTTATAATCACTTTAGTCCATTTCTTCTTCTTTCTTTTTCTTTTTCTTTCTTTCTTTTTTTTTTCCTTCTCATGCTTACGTACCCCTGGGCTTGGATGATGGTGTCAGGCTACCTACTTTTTTTTTTTTTTTTTGTGGAGGTGGGTTGCTGAACTTAAGTTACTTTTTTTTTTGTATCTCAGGCCAATGATCCAGCTATCATCAGTTGTAGTAACTTGTCTACTGTTCTTTTTCTTCAGTCCTAACCAACCATTGCTTCCACCTTTTACTCTGGATAAAAACTTTCCCCGTTGTTCTTTCATATTTCCAAACATCATGAAGCCAAAACCCAGTATTTAATATTACGTAATCTCTTAATTGTCTTGGTAAAATGATGGTGATGGATTGCTCATTCTAGATGATCCTTTCACCATGGAGATATTGGTTGATACTTACTGGCTTCAGAACTCATTTCCAGTGTACATTGTCTGTCATGCACAGCCAATAGTGCATCAAAAGTATTGAATAACAAATACCCGAGGTCTTTTTTTCCCCTGTGTGGCCTATGATGTTGATGCATGGCCTTTTGATACCTGACACCAGTGGGCTGTGGGGCTCCAGGTCTGAGAACATTGCATTTTCAAGTAAAACTACCACCTATCACTGAAGCCCGGCTTTGCTGGCACCCTCCCTGCCTGTCATCTGAGGAGGATGCTGTTGAAATGCTCGTGCTGGAAGATGTTCCGAGCTGCCAGATTCATCCCACTGATGATTTATGCTTTGGGAACCGTGCTCTGGTCCCATGGGACTCACCCGAGGGCAGCTGACCATCTGGATTTATGGTTACAGTCACAATGAAGAGGAGAACTGACCCAGAACGCACTGCCCCCATCAAGAAACAGAAAAAAAGAGTTGCAGAGCTTGGCCTGAACCTCAGCTCCACGTCCGACGATGATCCTCCCTCTGTCAATCACGCAGTGAAAGGTATGCTTGCCTGTGTGGTGTGAGGCTGCCAAGGATCTGGAGGTTTGCATCCCGGGTGCTTGAGCTGAGCGTAACACAGTCCACTGGCCCTTGGGGACAGCTGGGCAGATTCTCTGGAGAGATGTCGGCCCTAGATCTTCCCTTCTGCCACAAGCGGGAGACTTGTTGAAATAAAAATTGGGATTTTTCTAGAAGTCCCTGGGTTCCGTAGCAGGTACTTCAGTAGGTGGCACCCTTCTGCTGCCTTACACCAGTTGGAGCGTGATGGGCTGCTCGTGTGCCCTTAATAGCTGTGAGCGACCCTAGGACTCTCTGATGCAGGAGGGGCCTGCCGCTGCGCCTGTCTGGTCCAGTCCTCCTCAGGTTTTTGCATGTTGCTTTCTCACCAACTGTATTGGAGTGTTGCTGTGTTTACTGTTTATATTAAGCCCAAAGATTTCACTGATCTGGCTGAAAGTAGCACTTTTTAAAGGTTGTGGACATTCACAGTTTCCACAGATGCTCTCTGAGAAATGTGAAGTGTCTAGGAGTTTGCCTCCAGTGCCAAGAAGTAGCTCTGTTTGCACTTACCTTGACTTGCCAGCTGTATCAGTATCCTAAGGCTGCTGTAACAAATGAACACAAACTGGGTTGCTTAAACCAACAGAAATGTATTCACTCTGTTTTGGGGCTTGAAGTCTAAAATTGGATTGTGAGCAGGTCCATACCCCCTCCAAAGGCTCTTGGGAAGACTTTCTTTACTTCTAGCTTTTGGTAGTTGCCACTGTCCTGGTGTACCTTGGCTGTGGCAGCACAACTCCGGTTTCTGCCTCTGCTTTCCCTGTGTGTGTTCCGATTTCCCTCTTTAAGAATATCCGCCATTGGATTAGGGCTCCCCCTCCCCCCGCTCCATCGAGTATTACCTCATCTTGATTTGATAACATCAGCAAAGACCTTGTTTCCAAATAAGGCTACATTCAGTACAAGTTCTGGATGGACAAGATTTGGGGGTGGGGGATGGGGCATTGTATCTAACCCAGTACACCAGCATGCTTGGATTGGGGATCTTCTGTTGGATTGTTGGTAAACTGGGATGAAATTAGGTAACAGATTGGTGACTGAAAGGGTGTGAAGCATCCTTTGAGGGTGGTAGGAAATACAGTTTGTGCACAATGACAGGCTAACTGAAGGGCAGTTACTCATCAGCTGTTACTAAGAAACTGGTTCAGAGAGAAGCTTGACAGGTGGTGCAGCTAATGGAGCATTTGGTGCGGCTGTGGGCCAGGCTAGAGGAGAGACTCATAAACCTGTGTGTGGAGGTTTGCCCGCCTTTAAAGTCGTCTTGGATTCCAGGCTGGGTGAGAGTGGACCTCGGGAGGTAAGAGCGTACTGGCTGCAGTAGTTCTCGGACTGCTGAGGGAAGGGGATCTTCGCACCTGGGATTTGAACAGCTTGGGGGAGGCAGAGGCTCTTCAGGTAGGGCTCTGGGGCACGGGGAGAGGTGGCCTCCACGGGAAAGAGGGGAGCATGCCTGGGGAATCAGTGGTGCTCGGGTGGTGAAGATGTCTAGTTCTGGGGGCCTCTTGGGGACATATACCTCCAGGAAGGAGAGGAGGACTCTCAGGTAAAGGAAGCTAAGTGCATAGTAGTTGAGGATCTTTCAGGGAAACCAGTCTAGTTTAAATTTCAAGCTTTTAAAAATGTGACTGTGAATTGAGATTTTTCCCTTCCTGTTCTTACACACAAGCCCCCTAATTTTATGAAATAGCTTTAACCTTTTCTAGAAGTAGCACCATTTGACTCAGTCAGGACTGATCACTGCTGTTATGTGCACAGAATGGAAGTCCAGAGGTGGCCAGGCCCTTGTATGTGTCTGGCAATAGGCCAGTCTCTTTCATTTGCAGAAAATGCAGAGGCAGAGGCAGAGGCAAACCAGCTTTGCTCCATCACCCCATGGTATCTTATTTTAGGAAGCAGCAGCTTCACATTGCCAGGACAGCTGAGGGCTAGAGGTAGTTGTCTTCCTCAGCTACACTCTTCACAATGCTCGCCTCTCCCCAGGCCTGCAGGGAGTAATGCTCAGTAAACATTCCCTGAGTGAGCTGTTACAAGGCAACTATAGGATCCTCCAAGAAGCTTAAAACGCTTCACCTTTTTCCTTTTGCCCATCCTTCCTGTGGTCTGCAGAGTACTAACATTCTGTTAAGTACTTAGTGTTTATATTATCACCTCACATTCCTGAGACCTGGCACCTGGCTCTGGTGTCTTGCCAGGACTTCATGTGCCTCATATGTAAATGCAGCTGTTCTATCCAGATACTTGTTTCAAAGCACGGCGTTTCTGTTTGCTCCAACCAGTTCCACCTGGACATGCTGTTCCATTATGATGGAAGGGCAGTGAGAAAAACAAAAGCCAGAGTTACTATTTCTGTCTGCTGGGGCCCTGTGTTTTCTTCCTCTGCTAGATCAGTGCAATGACTCACTAATGTTACTATTTGATAAGTTTGTTTAGTTTACATTATTCACAAGGTGGTCAGAGACTGCCTTTTGACTTAAGAAGGGAAAGGATGTTGTCATGAACAATGTTGCATAGTGTTCTTAGTATTGTTAAGAGGCATTTAGGAGCTGGTGCTATGGTGCAGTGGGTAAAGCCACTGCCCGTGGCGTCAACATCCTGGATGGGCGCCGGTTTGAGTCCCAGCTGCTCCTCTTCCTATCCAGCTCTCTGTTATGGCCTGGGAAAGCAGTGGAAGATGGCCCAAGTGCTTGGGCCCCTGTACCTGCATGGAAGACCTGGAAGAAGCTCCTGGCTCCTGGCTTCAGATCTGCCTAGCTCTGGCCATTGCAGCCATTTGGGGAGTGAACTAGTAGATGAAGGATTTCTCTAACTCTGCCTTTCTAATAGATTAGAAGAAAATGTGTTTGAAGGCATTTTCAGGTGTAAAGCCTTTGCCTATTTGCTATCAAATCAACACCCTTTTGAAGTAAGGAGAGGCAGACAGGACACCTTGTTGGCCTGTTCTTAAAGCTAAACTGCAGTCTAGGCCCCAGCAGGATTTCTTTCTCCCGTTAGCTGTGCACCTAGTTGGATTCCTGCTTCTCCAGCACCACACTCTAAGCGCCTTCCCCTCCATCAGGTTTAATTCTTTCCTAAACAGGCTATTTGCCCTGAAACACCATTGCTTTCCTGTCAGCCCAGATTCATGACCTTAATCAAAAACTTCCTTTATCGGTATCTGTTTAAATTGCTTTAACGAGTTACCATTTGTCTAGCATGAAGGGGAAATTGAGTCTTTAAGCAAGAATAAGAGTATTCCATAGCCATTGTTAGGCAAGAGGTGATGTTTATTAAAATCCATAATTTATTCTCCTCTGTCTATGTGCTGCTCACCTTGGCCATTAGCAGTTGGAGCTGTCCCTCCTTGTGTGTTGTCTCTGTCATTTTTAATCTTTGTGGTTTGCCCTACTGCTACATCATGATGTGAAAAATTTTGCCAACTCTGGGAAACCTCTGGTTCCTCTGTAAATGAACCTTTCTTCTTTAAAACGCCTTAATAATGATTTCTGTCATGTAGAGAAGCAATTGTAAGTGACAATCCTAAATAATGCTTTGGGCTCGGTGGTGTGTTTCAGAAGGGGTACTCCCAGGGAGGTAAATGGGAATGCCACCTAGCTTTGGCAAGTTCTTAATGAAACTAATGATTTTAATAGACCGACCTTATTACTCCTGGTAATTTATATCCTCATTACAAAATTGCCTGTTCAATGTTTGCTACATTCTTATCAGTCTTGGGAAGCTAAACCTCCTCTTTAGTTTCTGCTGCAGCCATGGCAGTTATTTGAAAAGAGTGGCCCCAATGACCAGGAGTAAAAGTTAAGTGGAGACTGTGGCAGTCTGCAGATAGCAGGACTGATCTGCAGAACTTGGTCCTAAATAACATCAAGCTAAGAACTGGTTTCACATACCACATGAATGAAAGAGATAAGTAAGGCTTATTTGCTTATCTGTCTAGCAGGGTAACATTGTAGCTCCCATCATGCTCACTCTGAGAAGCTGGAAAGGACAGTGTACAGTAGGTTACACCTTGGCAGGACAAACAGAGAGGACGGGTCTTTGTGCCAGAGTATGGGGTTGGAGTTTTGCACCACCGATTTGCCTAGTGAGCCTTCCACCACATTTGGTTCTCCCTATCCAAATGCCCAAAGGTGTGGTGGAGACAAAAGGAAACAAAAGCTGCCTCCCTGCGAGCTGCAGCGGGCAGGAACCCTGCATGCCCAGGAATGGTATTCATCCGCTGCAGCGCTCATTTTTGGGTCTGCAGGCAAATGCCCAGCAGCTCCCCAGCGCTGGAGCAAGGCACCTTGTTCTTTGAGCAGAATACTGGATTTGTTAGCCTTGTAAAACTGTAATGTCCAGGTAGCTGGTGAAGGGAATAATTTAACTTTGCAGCTTCTGATCAGTCAGGACCCTGGACCTGGGGGCTGCCCAGAAGGAGTGATAGGGCTGTGCCTGGGGGACCTGCCAGGTTCCTGGCACTGCCTCTTTCTGCACCGTTGGGAGTGCTGTTTTTGAGTGCAAGGGTGCTCTCCTCCACATGGAGACAACAGGCGAAGGGCCAAGGGCAGGTAGTCTTGAGCCACCCAGAGCCTTTTCCCCTCAGATCTGCTCTCAGAAGATTTCTATAGAAAGGAACCAACCTCTTCCCAAGGCTTGGAATGGCAATTAATTTATTCATGGCTTTATTTTTACTTAAAAAAAAAAAAACCTAATATATTCTTGTTTCTCACAAATGCAGAAAGCACAGAAAAGTGCAAAATGGAAAATAAATATCACCTCACCTCTCAGTTTCCATGGTTACTCATTGTTAATGTTCTGGGTCTTTCCTTCTGAGTGGCACTCTCTGGCACTCTGATGTATGCTGCACTGGTCTATGTACGAATATCCACTGCTTATTAGGAGAATTGGACAACCACCACAAGAGAAGGGGCAGATTCCGTGCTTCCCACACAGGGGCTGCACAGTCATAATTCCTCCTTGCCAGCTGATCAGGAGGCAGTATTTTATTCTGATGTTTTATTTTATAAATTAACATTTTATTTTTATTTATAGAAATATTTCACATATTCACCTGCTGTTTGTTCTTTTGCAAAAATGTTGTATCTTTTAAAGATGCATATTTCGGGGCAGACATTTAACATAGTAGTTGAGGTTCCACCTGGGGTGCTCACATGCCATAACAGACTGCTTGCGTTTGAGTCCTGGCTCTACTTCAGAGTCCAGCTTCCTGCTAATGTGTGCCCCGGGCTGGGGAAGTGGCACAGCAGGTAGTAACGTATGCACTTGGGTCCTTGTCACCAATGTGGGAGACCAGATGGAGTTCCAGGCTCCTGGCGTCAGCCTGGTCCAGCCCTGGCTGCTGTGAATTTTTTGTGGACTTTTCAGGAGAGAACCAGCAGATGGAAGATTCTCTCCCATCCCCCAGGCCCCCTCCTTTTTTATTTTTTTTAAAGCGTTTTTATGTTTTCTGTTAGATTTTTATGTTCTCTGAGTGTTCTTATTTTGCACAGTAGCCTACTGTATATAGCATGGACCTTTTATGGGGCAGTTTCTGAATCACAGTAATTGTCTGCTCTTTTAAACAATATTAACCTTCTAAATGCTGACATATGTCCTATTTTAACCTATTGGGGCTTCAGGGGCTAAATCATGGTCCAGGGAGGGCCCAGTTCTCTTTTAGGATATGAGAATTCCATCCTCATGCTTAAACTAGTAAGGTCTGAACATGTTGCACTGCTTGTAGGAGGTGTTAAGAGGAGCCCTATTCTCAGTACGTCTTCAGGAGAGGTGACACCGGGCCGACAGATATCTAAATTCACCATGATGAGTGTTTAGTTTCTGATAAATGGAAAGCCTCAGTCCAGGTGTCAGGGCTGCCAGGTTGAGTGCACACAGCTCCTTCTCTGTGAGACCTCGTCCTGTGGGGACGGCTTACAGCAAATGCTGACTGGCGGTAAGGCAGTGTGGTGCGTGCTGTGCTGCTCGGTGACTCCTGGTGCTGCAAGTTTGTGTGCTAGAAGGGAAATGCATGTACACAGTGCATGTACACTTCAGAATTACGATGTCCTCTTCAGGTTAGGAATGCCTGAAGAGTGACCACCTCGGGTGTGTAAAGAATTGTTTCACACAGCTGCTTCAGCACCTTTCCTCAGTACCTCCTGGTTACAGCAGCTGGGTTTTCTTTTTCTTTTTCTTTTTTTTTCTAAAATTTTTTTTTTGACAGGCAGAGTTAGAGAAAGAGAAAGCAGCTGGGCTTTTTTTTTTTTTTTTTTTTTTGATAGGTGGAGTTAGAGACAGAGACAGAGAAAGGTCTTCCTTCCATTGGTTCACCCCCCAAATGGCTGCTATGGCCAATGCGCTGCGCTGATCCGAAGCCAGGAGCCAGGTGCTTCCCCGGTCTCCCATGCGGGTGCAGGGCCCAAGGACTTGGGCCATCCTCCACCTCCTTCCTGGGCCACAGCAGAGAGCTGGACTGGAAGAGGAGCAACTGGGACAGAATCCGGCGCCCCAACTGGGACTAGAACCTGGGTGCTGGTGCCGTAGGTGGAAGATTTACCTAGTGAGCGATGCCAGCCAGCAGCTGGGTTTTGACCCAGCATCTTTCCTCAACAATTTTTCCTCAAAGGAACTATGCCACTTTGCTAAGTCAGATTTTTTATATTTATTTTAAATATTAACGGGTAATTATAGGTTTGTAAGTCAAAGTATTTTTTAAAAGATCAGTGTAAACTCTCACATAAAAATGTGAATCAGATTTCACTTCTTTCACTTTTACTTGTTCTGAGTGATCATTTTAGCATTCTTTTTTTATTTATTAAAAATTTGTGGGGCCGGCACTGTGGCACAGCGAGTTAAAGCCCTGACTGGAAGTGCTGGCATCCCATATGGGCGCCAGTTCTGGTCCCGGCTGCTCCTCTTCTGGTCCAGCTCTCTGCTGTGTCCTGGGAAGGCAGTACAAGATAGCCCAAGTCCCTGGACCCTGCACCCACGTGGGAGACCTGGAAGAAGCTCCTGGCTCCTGGCCGTTGTGGCCATCTGGGGAGTGGACCAGCAGATAGAGGACCTCTCTCTTCATCTCTACCTCTCTCTGCAACTCTTTCAAATAAATAAAATATTTAAAAACATTTTGTTTTACATTAGAAAGAGACCATTTGAGAAGGGAGAGAGGTCCTTCCTGCTGGTTCACTCTCCAGATGCCTGCAGCAGCCCCCTAGCCTGAAGCTGAGAGCCAGAAACTCAGTCCAGGTCTCTTCTGCAGGTGGCAGGAACCCAATCACTTGGACTGTCATTGCTGCTTTCAGGATTGGCATTAGCAGGAAGCTTGAGACAGGAACCAGATCTGGGTACTAAACCTAGGCATTCCATTATGGAGTGTAGGCATCTTAACTACCAGGACAAACAGTCACCTCCAGGTTGATATTTTCTGTCCATGCATTAGCCCCTGCATGAGTGGATAATCACTTTTATTGGTCTTGTATATTTTTCCATCTAAAAACTTATGCAATTATAGGCAAGGCATATAGCATTCTTTTCCCTCTTTGGTACACAAGAGTTAGGATGTTGTGCTGAAGTCCATGGTCTCGCTCTGTTGCTCTTCTGATAGGGTGTCTTGGTGGTCCATCTTTCTCAATCCATAGAGCAGAGGTTCTCAGACTTTCTTGATTCTTGGTACTCTTAATGTGATCCTTTTTTTTTTTTTTTACTATGTCCAGTTTATTAAGAATCAAATATTTATTTAGGTCTGAATACTACACATTTGTGTCCTAACAACTAGCTAATAGGCATTTGAAAGACTAATACATATAAATTGGAAAAAATTGTTTTATCTTTAACCATAATTATTTTTTAAAGATTTATTTATTTATTTATTTTAAAGAGTGATGCGGTGGGTGGGGGGAAGATCTTCCACATGCTAATTCATTCTCCAAATGGCCACAATCAGCCAGGGCTGGGCCAAATTGAAGCCAAGAGCCAGGAACTTCAAATGTGTCTCCCACATGGGTGGCAGGGTCCCTCCTTTTGTTTTTTTTCTTCCTCCCTTCCCTTCCTCTCCTCCTTTGTTCTTCTCCCACTCATCTCCCTGTGAGCCAGCTCTTCTCTGAGCTGTGTTATGGATGCAGCTTCTTATCTGTAAGTTTAAAGGACTGAAAACAAAGATAAGTGGGAGATTAAACAATCCAAAACTGCTAGTCTGATGACAGAATTGGTGAAAATAGAACCAGGCATCAATATTTAGAAATTGATGTTTGAATAAGAAACAGTGGCAACAGAATTAACAATATATCTTCAATATATACTTTATATTTGACAGTATACTTTCAGATATGCTATTTCATTTAATTTTTAAAGAGCCACAATGTAAGTATTACCATCCTACTTTGGTGGAGGAAATTAAAAGCGTGGAGAAGGAAAACTTACTTTTGATCACCATTGTGACAAGTACTACCAGAAACTTTCAGAGACTTGTCTGAGATTACACAGCTAGTGAGACCTAGAGAATAGATTTGACCCTGGTCATTTAATGAACTTCATGTGTGTAGTATATACAGTGAACACCAGTTGAATAAATGATACTTGGATTTCTAGAGACTATTTTGTGCCATAGACTCATGTGAACATTTTCCTTTTTGTTTTCCAGCATCTGCCACAAGCTTAAGTGAGTCTGACAGTGAGAATGAGGGGAAGCAGCACAGCTCCGACTCTTTCCATGATGCATTCAAAGCGGACTCCCTTGTGGAGGGAACGTCCTCTCGTTACTCCATGTACAATAGTGTGTCCCAGAAGCTCATGGTATGTAGCGTTTGGTTTGGTATTCACAAACTCCCCCGGCAAAGTGAAAGGAGGGCAGTTTGCACCCGTGTGAAAAGAAGGGAAGGTTAGGAATAGGGTTTTCCTCTGCTTTCCAGCTACTGAATTTTTAAAAAATTTATGTATGTATGTATTTGAAAACAGTGACAGAGCAAGAGAGATGGAGAGATCTTCCAGGTGCTGACTCAGTCTCCACATGACTGTAAGGCTCTACCTGGGCCAGGCTGAAGCCAGGAGCTGCATCCTGGTCTCCCATGTGGGTGGCAGGAACTCAAGTACTTGAACTGTAATCTGCTCCCCAGGTGCATTAGTAGGAAGTGGAATCGGAAATGGAGTAGCTGGGACTCAAACTGGCAGTCCAGTATGGGATGCAGGTGTCCCAAGTGGTGACTTAACACACTGCCATAACACCTGCCCTAGCTACTGAAATTTAATAAAGAAAACGGGGCCCCCTTCTTAATTCTTCAAATCTGTCACATTTGAATCATCCATCGGAGTGACTGCTTAGGCCTGTTTCTGGACAGAACTGGATCACCTTTTCATATTTGTAATAATTCTTGTTAGAAGCACACAGGAGTACATTTTCCTAAACATGGATGGGTACTAGTGGATAAAGAGGCTGCTGTGAGGAGTTGCTCTAGAGGGTGATCTCAAAAGAAGTTACTGAAATCCTGTTCATCCCCAGGAAGTAAAATAAATAGAAGTAGCACAGCCTTTTTCCAAAAGAAGATCCAGTTCTCTTTCCCAGCTTTCATGCCCTGTTGATGCATCACAAGAATGGAGGTGAACAGGAAGATTGCTCTTTTCCTCATCCAAATTTAGTGTCTACCAGGGGTGTTAGACCTTGTGGCTAGGACATCTGCATCCCGTATCATAGTGCCTGGGTTCAGGTCCCAGTTCCAGCTCCTAACTGTGCAGACCGTGGCTGTGCAGTGATGGTTCAAGTACTTGGGTCCCTGCCACCTTTGTGGTTGACCTGGATTGAGTTCCCAGTTCCCAGTCTCTGCCTGGCCCATCTCTGGCTATTTTGGGTATTTAAGGAGTAAATCAGCATATGGGGAAGCATGCATTCTGTCCCTCAGCCCCCCTCAAATTAAAAACAGCAGAATTTACTGTGTGTGCAAAGGTTGTCAGGAAATCAAATTGCCTTCATCTGGCTTCAGGAATATCATAGTTGACTCCATCATTTCCTGTTGGGCTCACTGAAGGATGAGAACTGCCACTATTGAAGTTGGGGTTGTAGTTAGGGGGCCACAAACTTTGGAGAAGTGGAAGATGGAGAGGCTTGTGATGTCTCAGTCAACCTTTTGAGCTGGGGAAGGATTTGTGGCTACTGTAAGATGCCCTCCAGCTCCTGAGCTAGGAAGCCATTTTCAAAGAGAATATAGACCCTCCTGGGGAATTAGATCGTCTAATTATTGGAATTCTTTTATTAAGTGAGAGTCTCTGGGCTCGGATCTTTGAGGTATGCACATGAGCTCAACAACTAGAATTTGGTGTGAGCTTATAGACAGACAGTTGTGACATTTAAAAAATGTTTCTGTCCTGGGATTTTATTGTTGCTTCCATACCTCATTTTACATGAAGCAGGTTTTCGGCTAGTTTCTTGATTTAAGTGACCTAATACAGGCCCTCATTGTCCTCACTAAGTAAGGCTGTTTGGCTAAACATAAAGTAGAAGCTACTGCTTGAAGTGATATCAGCTGTATTTTGATCTACTTCTTGCTTACTCAGTCAAATTAGCTGGAAGGGTAAGTTGTGCAAATGTCCAGTGAGATTCATTAAGCACTCTTAATGCTTTTAGTTATAGCTATGAGGTCCATTCTCATTTGTCCAACTTCTGGTTGCCCTAGACTTTCACCTCTAGATACATTCTGGGCCCATCGTTACCACAGTTACTTACTTACGCTGCTTTTTCTTCATTAGGCTAGAAGGCCTAACTTTAGGCTTACTCATCCATATTTCTCATGGCTTAGCGTAAAGTTGGACAAGTGGTGGAGGCTAAATGAATGTTGTTGCGCTGAATTAATGTGCTCTCTTCCCTCTCTTTTTCAGGCCAAGATGGGCTTCAGGGAAGGTGAAGGACTGGGTAAATACAGCCAGGGTCGGAAGGACATCGTTGAGGCCTCTAGTCAGAAAGGTCGAAGAGGCTTGGGTCTGACACTTCGGGGCTTTGACCAGGAGCTGAACGTGGACTGGCGAGATGAGCCAGAGGTAACTGGTGTGGGGAGGAGGAGAGGAGAAATCCTTGTGTTTTTGGTTGCGTGGTTTTAAGAAGCCATAGTAACAGACCAGAAGTCTCGAGGTAGTGTGAGGAAGGTACCAAGTGGGGTTGTGATTGGCTTCTTACATGGAAGTTTTTGGGGATGTCCAGAATGGAAAACAAGACTGAGAGAGTCTACACCATTAAGCTTCGAAATAGGAGTTTGTTTATGCTAAATGGATGTCTCCCGTGGGTTTAGTCCATTTATCTGTTTGGGTACCACTTTCTTTGAATCCAGGAGACCAGACAAGACTCTTTAACATTCCTTTTTGTGGCACAGATTATGGCACAGGTTTTATTTATGTTCTGCCTTATTCCGCAAAAGATAGGTACAATAAAAGATAGGTACAATAAAAGCATCTAAAAGAACAGTGAGATATTAGCATTACAGAAAGAAAATAGTACATCAAAATCTAGCCTTACACACAGTTGCTGTGGTTGAGCTTCAGGTTTTGCTCTGAACTCTGGATACTTTATCTCTTTGATGGCTGCAGTCCAGAAAGGAATTCTTGGGAAGTCATATATGATAAAAACTTAATATGGTTCAAAATAAGATTCTGATAAGCCAGGAGTTGGTGGGTTCTGTGGTGGTTTCCCTGTGTTGCCTTATCCTTGTGAGGAGCCAAGGTCAGTCGGCAGAATAGCAGATGGGACGGTGTTGAATAGGAAGGCACTGTAACTGGCTGTCAGATAAAGGCTTTCCCCTCAGAAATACCTGGTGCTCTCTGTTGTCATCATTCATGTGAAAACAAGTGAAGGCTTCCAGTCCTTTCAGTGGGTAGAATTTGGACTAACGTTGCTCAACTCAGAATCTGAAATGTGCCTGTAAAAATTCGCCGTTTATCATACTTCAGTTTTTCCTCTTACAAAAGATGCCTCATGAGTGAGAGTTTGGCTCAGCTGTCAGTTGGTAGCTACTTCTTTAAGGCAGATGAGGCTGGGTGTCCAGTCCTGGGTCACTGCAGGGAAAGTGCTCAGTGGCCACTGCAGCCACTGACCCTTGGGACACAGTCTACCACATAGCAGCTTTAATGTTCAGACTTCCCTAGGGAGATGAAGCCTGCCTTTTCTTTTAAAGGAGCATCCAAAGTATATACGAGCTCTTTTCTGGAGTTTAAAATTTACAGCCATTATGCCTAGAGGTGATGGGTTTGACCAGGAGGAGAAGCCACCATACACTGCCAGATTCATGGACAAAAGACTTCAGTAATTTTCCTTTTCAACTTTTTCTCTGTTGATCATGGTTGGCTTGCCCTCAAGACCTTGCATTGTGATACCATTTTATGCCTTTCAGAGCATGTAATATTACCTTTAATCACATTGCTTCGATTTGCAATGGTGAATCTTTTCTCCACACTTGCTTGAGACTCAATCTGTGAAGCGGCTATGCAGGTTAGCCACCTGTTTAGATTTTATAATCCCCATTTCTCTAGCCCAGTGGTACTTAGTCCTGGCTGCACAGTAGAATTATACGGAGACTTTAAAAATGTACTTATGTGCCATCCCCACCTCAGGCCAAGAGAATCATATACTCTTGTTGCGGGGAGAGAGGTAGGAGAGTGTAGGCAGGGTATTCGCCCTTTTTAAAGTGCTGACCTGATCCTAACATACAGCCAGGGTGGGAACCAGTGTTTTAGCCTGATAGGCAAAGTAACTGGAAAATTAAGAGAGAGCAGCTGTGAGAGAGGCTGGTTTCTATCCTGTCTTGAACTGAATGGAGGAGGAATGCTAATTTCCAGGTTCTGAGTTGTTTTGTCAATAATACTTGGAAAGGCATCAGGAGAGACTTGTTGCCACTAAGTCTTCCTAGTGCAGTTACCTTATTGTAAACCTAAAATACATGTGATAACCATCCATTTTCTTCTCTGTGTCCCTGATGCTCTGATTTTAAACCCCTTGGGTCAAGGACCTATCTTACGTAACTGCATCCTGAGCACTTGGCATGTAGTAGGTATTCATCAAATAATACTGGACAAATGAAAGAAATGGAGATTTGGGACACTTCTAAGAATTGAAACCAGAATTGGAAACAGCCTTCAGAAGTTAGAATCCTGGCTCTCACTTCTCATATTTGACCACTACAGTCGGCCTCAGCAACCTTGACCCTTCTCAGTCTGTCTGAGCCTGTTTGTTTTGGGGAAGCCCTGATGAATTTGGGGCATAGTCCTAAGCGTGAGGGTCATTCTTACCTGACTTACTTGCGTCTCTTCTCTTTATAGCCCAGTGCCTGTGAGCAAGTGTCATGGTTCCCAGAATGTACCACGGAGATTCCTGACACTCAGGAAATGGGCGACTGGATGGTTGTGGGAAAGGTAGGATTCAGGAAATTGTGCCCTGACTTCTTGGCACTCTCCCGATTTTCCTCCTTGACTCTGGTATGTATGTACCCTTGCAACTTAGCGAGTACGAGGGGTCTTCAGAAAGTTTATGGAAAATGTATATTATGAAAATGCAATGCATGGGCTTCATAACAGTGGTGAAAAGTTATTTGCCCTTTTCACATTCATACTTTAACATGAGTGTCCAGTGGATTTTTCCAGAAGCCATGACATGTGGTATTACAATTGATTAAATACAAAAGCAGAGAGGAGAGTCTAGCCTTATATGAAGTCAGGCATTGAACAGATTTGCAAAGGTGGGAAATGGTACCACTCAAATTTCTTGATGGGAAATGAGTATTTTAATAAAACTATGTTAATGTAAAATTGTTATTTTAAACTGAATTAAGGAACATTTTTAAGCCTGTTTTGCCTTTTTTTTTTTTTTGAAGATTTATTTGAAAGGCAGAGTTACAGAGATGTAGAGGCAAAGAGAAATTTTCCATCTGCTGGTTCACTCCCCAGATGGCCGCAATGGCCGGAGCTGAGCTGATCCAAAGCCAGGAGCCAGGAGCTTCTTCCAGGTCTCCCACTCGGGTGCAGGGGCCCAAGCACTTAGGGCCATCTTCCACTGCTTTCCTAGGCCATAGCAGAGAGCTGGATCGGAAGTGGAGCAGCTGGGACTTGAACCGGCACCCATATGGGATGCCAGCACTGTAGGCAGCGGCTTTACCCACTACGCCAGCCCCAAGCCTCTGTTTTAATTTCTAACAATATTAACGTCTTTCTATCTATATATCCACAAAAACAGAACCTCTTTGGGGTCTTGGTGTTTTTTAAGGGTAGAAAACCTGAGACCACAAGTTTAAACATTGTTGATTTAACAGTATCCCCATTCAGGTGGGGCCTGGACTTGACATCTCCAAGGCCCCTTTCAGCCCTTGTTTTCTATAGCACTGCCAGTCGGTGCCTGGTCCCATGCCCTTGTACTCATCACAGGATGAGAGGCATTCTGGATGAGAGATGAGGCACTCCGGGCAGACGGCTCCAATGGCACCTTCCTGTTTGCTTTTCCCAGCCTCAGCATTTGTGAGTCTTGTATCCATATGGTGTGCTACTCCGAGCTCCCGGGGGACTGCTTCATCTCACAGCCATCTGGAGGAGAGCCGGAGGGGTTTAGGATTCTCTTTCCCATTCCTCAGGGATCGATGTTCTTGGCAGGAACTCAAACTCTTTACTCTGCTCTCTTGGAACCTGGATTTCTCAATTCAGCCCCCGAGTGCAGTCACAGGTGGTCATTATTTACTGTTTTCTTCTCCCTGTAGAGGAAGTTGATGATTGAAGATGAAACAGAATTTTGTGGGGAAGAGCTGCTTCATAGTGTGTTGCAGTGTAAGGTAAGGCCTTGGGGCTGCAGCTGGACTTGAAGACCTCACGTGAGGTGATTTGCTGGGGCTTTCCCAATTCTTCATTTGCATCGGTTGGGGGAAGATGAAGATGTTTCCTACAGACCTCTGAGGTGTCATTTTCCTGGTGACTGTTGTGCCTTGTGGTGTATGTTGTACTATCCCATGGTCAGTAGCCAGCAGAGAATTCATTTAACCTCAGTGGGCTGGTTCATTGTACTCCTGTGGGGCCTGGTGTAGGAAGAAGTTTGGAATAATTTTTAGCATCAGATGGATCTGGATTCAGATCCTAGTTCCTAAAACTTAATTGCTGTGTGACCTTGGGCCAGTTTTGCTATTCCAGGTTTCTTCATCTATAGAATGGGGACAGAATACTTCCTTGGGAAGATGTAGAATTGAATGAAATAGTGGGTATGAAGTGCCTGGCTGAATGTTAGCCTTCCCTTGATAATTTTTGGTTTGATTGCGGGTCTGGAAACACATGGCCTGGGCCCAATGAGCCAGGGAAACTGAGGAGAAACGGGCCAGTGAAGTATGAAAGCCTCAGCCTGGCCTCCCAGGGTTATTTTTGGCAGACATAGAGTTGGAAATATCCGTACGGTGAAGGGAAATCAGGTGAAGTGAGGATTTATTTTTCCAGCAAGGGAACAGAGGTAGGAAAGGAATCATCACTGTGTGGTAAGTGCCATCAGAAAACCCTGGTCTCGCTTTGCTTCCCCTTCTCTGAGTGACCGCAGCCAAGTGAGTCTTGTATCTGACCTCTGGTCCCTTGGAGAGTTGCTGCTGGTGTGGAGACTGAGTTGCTGTGAGGATTAGCCACACCCAGAGGTGGCTCTGTATAGCAGAAGGTGCTGTTTTCTAACTGTTTATCATGTGCCAGGCACCAGCTTTTTTTTAACCATTTTATAGTTGAGATAGTTGAAGATCAGAGTGATTGAGCAGCTTGTCTCAGATCACACAGCTAAGTCACTTCAGAGCTGAGATGCCCCTGGGAGTGCTGTGGTTTGGGCACCAGCAGCCTGTAAGACCCCTGTCCCATCCCAGAGGATCTGGTGTGACCCCACATTCACATCACCTGGCTCTGACTCTCTCTGGGCAGAGTGTGTTTGACGACTTGGACGGGGAGGAGATGAGGCGAGCTCGCACCCGGGCCAATCCCTACGAGATGATCCGAGGAGTCTTCTTCCTGAACAGGTTTGCTGGCCTCTCCTTCTCTCCTGACGTGCGCCGCTTCACCACAGCTTTCCATACGTCTCCTACTGAGTCTCGCTCTCCTGTCTTGCTTTGTTTCAGGGCTGCGATGAAGATGGCTAACATGGATTTTGTGTTTGATTGCATGTTTACAAATCCACGGGACTCTAATGGGGTGAGAATGAGATTCTGCTTCTGAATTCAGTGTTGAGTGGACTTATGTTTCAGTGACTCAGAAATTGCTGTTGGTTCAGTACTGGGGGAATGGTGGCAGGTGGTAGAGACAGCTTCTCAGAAGGGGTTCCACAGTGCTCCTGTGGTTCCAGGAATGCCCCAGTTAGGAGCTGTCCCCAGCGCTGCCGGCCCAGAGTCCCAGTCCCTGATGCATAGATCTTGTTGCTCACTGTGGCTGAAGGTAGATGGGGCCTACAGCAGTGGAGAAAGGACATTCCTAGACAGAATCTAGGGCCCTAGCATCTGCAGGCCGAGGGAGCAGAGAAGTGAGGCCAAGAGTTAGAACCTGGCCACCCTCCTGCCTTTGTTAAACATACATTTATTTATCCAGTCCCTGCTTTGTGCCAGACACTGCCTGTATCATTTACAGTTAGGTAGATGTGATCCCTCTCCTTATGGCACTTAGTCTAGATGTTCTGGTGAATTTGAGAGCTAGAAGGGGTGCAGGGCTGGTTGTATGTAAATCCTCTTTTGCTCATGGGAATTTGGAGTTCACCTGTCACCAAGAAGCTTCAGGCTTCTTCCTTCCTACCATGAATGAGGAAGGGCAAAAGGACAAGTGTAGTCCTTGTAGTCTTTTGTGTGTGTGTGTGTGTGTGTGTGTGTGACAGGCAGAGTGGACAGTGAGAGAGAGAGAGACAGGGAGAAAGGTCTTCTTTTGCTGTTGGTTCACCCTTCAGTGGCCGCCATGGCTGGCACGCTGCGGCCGGCGCACCGCACTGATCTGAAGCCAGGAGCCAGGTGCTTCTTCTGGTCTCCCATGGGGTGCAGGGCCCAAGCACTTGGGCCATCCTCCACTGCCTTCCCGGGCCACAGCAGAGAGCTGGCCTGGAAGAGGGGCAACCGGGACAGAATCCAGCGCCCTGACTGGGACTAGAACCCGGTGTGCCGGCGCCGCAAGGCGGAGGATTAGCCTAGTGAGCCGCGGCGCCGGCTTCAAGTGTAGTCTTTAAAGCAAGCTTATTTTCGATTTTGAAACTTGCGACATTGGATTTTGGTGTTTCTGTTATGAGATGGGAGTGCTCTGGGAAGTGGGATTTGAATGCTGAATGAAATGTGGGCATTTCAAGGCACATTTTCCCTAGTCTATTTCATTAAAATCGGTATCATGTCCGGAAGTCTAGTATCTCTTGTCGGGCTGTAAGGGGAAGGAACACAGCACTTAGGAAGCTGCTAGCATCATTTAAGATCATACTTTGGGCCTTCACTGCCTCATTTTGAAATAAGCCATGCTAAGCTGCCAGAGGTCTGGGCTAGAACCAGAAAGCTCTGGAGATCTGTTCCAGCTCCACGATCAGGATTTTAGACAGGGCTGCTTTCCCTCTGCTTCTCTGGACCAGCTTTGTGTAGGATCACGATTAAGAAGCTTTGGTCTTTCTCCAGAAGTGGTGGGGGGAAATGATGGTCTACTCTGCTGTATCTCGGTTCTCTGAACACAGACCTTCTGTCATCGTGGAGAATGAAGGGGACATTGCATTCTAGAATTCCCTTCAGGGCTTTAAAGCATTTTACCCAATCTTAGGAAGTTGTTTTCTCTAACAGTGACTGGGCAAGGAGTCAGCTACCCCCAAACCTGTTTCTGCCTCACTCCCTCTCGTCAGCCAGACCCTCTGATTATCTACCTTTTAAAGCAGCTTACTTTCCCAGCTCTTCCTGTTGCAGCCCCACCTGCCTAACTGCTTCTCCCATGCTGGCAGACCTGCGTATGGACCCTTCCAGTTTTCACTCATTTTTCTCTCCCAGGTCTCCCTCCCCATTTTCCAGTACCAGCAGGCAACACAGCACAGAAGGGCTCTTAGAATTAGCATCTTGAGAAAATTAGGTTGATATGATGTTGATTAAATTTTCTGTGCTCCAAATGATTTCCTTTAAACCTGCCTGGCAGAGGAGCTCTGTTAAACTGACGGGAAGTCACAGCGTCATTCTGGGCTTTTGAATGTAAATGCCTCCAGCAGCTGCTATCTGATTATTGTCTTTTGCTGTCCTGAAAATGAAGTAGGCACCAGGGTTATACCACTCGGGTTGAGGGTAGAGATGTTAGTTACATAGGAAAAGGCAGTGTGTTTGTAATGCTTCAGGCAGCTTCTTGACCTGAATTGATTGTTAGTGGCCACGAAGAATTGCCTATCAGAGATGTTTCCCTATACTCCACTCTGAAAAGTGATTTCTCTCGAGCCCATAGTGCTTTCTTCTCTCTTTTCATCTCCTTGTTTTCCCCTGAGGACCAGAATGACAGCCAAGCCCAGAAGGCTTCGTGTGTTTTTCAAGCAAGCAGAGATGCTAGAGCAGTCCCAGCAGAGGTGGGAGTGGTCAAAGCCCAGGCATATGCTCAGGTTTGCTAGGGTCTTAGTGGCTCTTGGATCGGATAAATTACAGACTAAGAGCAGAAAACCTTGAAGCTTAGAGGAGTATGCAGAGGGTGGGAGTGGGAAGGGAGACCCTGGGGTTCTTAAATAGGTCTCTGGTGCTGCAGGTTGTGATAAGAGGAGAAGAAGGACCAAAGCAGGAAAAGAAAGAGATTGCCAACAAAAATTGGAAGAGACAGGGAAGGAAGGGAATTTAGATCCTTGAGATACATGGGGGAATATTATAACTGTTACATTGTGTGAGGGATTTGTGTGCCTGAGGATGTTGTTGAGCTAAGAAAACATTGTGAAGTATAAGAAGATAAAAGCAGAATGTGGATCTTTAAGTTTCAGACCTAATTTGGAGAAAATTAGATGGCATTTACAGTGTGCACTGCATGCATGTACAGTAGTGTACTTGGCATTGGAAAGAGAAAAAGATGAAAAGGATGAGTTTTGAACATAATATCATCCTAGAATTTTTTGATGCTTCACGATATAGAAAGACCTTTGCCATAGGATATTTGTTTAATCCCACATCAGCCTTGAGAAATACCTGCATTTGTCTCCATTTACAGTTGGGGAAGCTTGAGCTTGAAGACTTAAATTTTGTGCTTGCCCTTGACTGCACTGCCAGCAAGCCGCAGAGCTGCAGACCTCAGCTGTCCTTTCTGTGAAAGACCTCCTGGCCAAGGCTGTGAAGGCTACATGTCTTGCAGTCATAGAATGCTATTCTGTTTATGCCTCTTCACTCGGTCAGATTCTCATTGATTCAGTTCCTTCCTTCCCCTAGTTTTCCTTTGGATCAGCGGTTCAGCCACAGAGGCTGGAGCCTGGGGTGAAGGCATGGCGGGGCTGAGGAACACATGTCCCCTCTTCATAGTGAGCACAGGGCTTAAACTCACGACCCCCGCCTCATCACTGCTGTGCTGACTGGAAAACACTACGTGATGTTCTTGGTGAATGTCATTAGGTCATCGTTGTCATCTTTTTTTAGGGTTTACTTATTTGAAAGAGAGAGACAGAAACAGAGAGATCTTCCATCCACTGGTTCACTCCCCAGATGGCTGCAGCGGCCAGGGCTGGGCTAGGCCGGAGCCAGGGGCTTCATTTGGATCTTCCATGTGGGTGGAAGGGCCCGAGCACTTGGGACCATCTTCCACTGCTTTCCTAGGCCATTAGCAAGGAGCTGAAATGGAAGTGGAGCAGCTGGGACTCTAATTGACACCCATATAGGATGCTGGTGTTGCAGGCGGCAGGTTAACCCAACATGCCACAGCACCAGCCCCCATTAGATCCTTCTTTTACATGCAAATTAACATAATCCAGAAGCACAAACAACTGCCATGTCAGGAACAAAAAATGATGGGGCGGAGTATTGAGAAACAACTGATGATAGACCCCAACCTGCCTGGTCTAGGCTTGTAACTGGATAATGAGATTTATTTTTAGCTAAATTCACTTTCTCCAGAGGCTTTTTCACTGTTTTATAAAGCTAGATAGCTATCATCAGAGGCCAATGGTACCTAGAAGTGATTGTGTTGTGAACCTTAGTATGTCTCTTTCTTTTTTTCTTCTTTTTTTTTTAGATTTATTTTATTTATTTGAAAGACAGAGTTACAGAGAGAGGTAGAGACAGAGAGAGAGGTCCTCCATTCACTGGTTCACTCCCTAGATGGCCACAACAGCCAGAGCTGCACAGATCCGAAGCCAGGAGCCAGGACCCTCTTCCAGGTTTCCCACGTGGGTGCAGGGGCCCAAGGACCTGGGCCATCCCAAGCCGCAACAGAGAGCTGGATCGGAAGAGGAGCAGCTGGGACTAGAACTGGTGCCCATATAGGGTGCCGGCACATCAGGCCAGGGTTTTAACCTGCTGTGCCACAGTGCTGGGCCCAATAGGTCTCTTTCTTTCTTAAAAGTGTTTCTCCTAAAGCTTTCTGACCTTTATCCCACAGTTGCAGACAAGCACTCAGCCAACCAGATCTGTAATGAGGGAAGGCTGAGATCCTTGAGCCCCTTCCTGCAGATTCATCAAGGGTCCAGGGCAGCTGAGAGCACATCCTCTCGTTGTCAGCAGCGCAGACACTTAGTCCTCTCCACTGTGGAGGGCCAGTAGCAGCCCTCGCAGGGCACAGCCACCCCTAGCATTTGCTTAAGTGAGAAGTATAAACACACGCACTGGGCCAGTGCTGTGTTTAGCGTGCATTTGAGGTTGAGGATAAAGCTAAAATAGAATCAAGTCAAATTCAAATGGTTGGGGCTGGCACTGTGATGTAGTGGGTAAAGTCACTGCCTGCAGCACCAGCATACCATGTGGGCACTAGTTCAAGTCCCTGCTGCTCCACTTCTGATCCAGATCCCTGGTAATGTATCCAAGAAAGCAGAGGAAGATGGCCCAAGTGCTTGGGCCCCTTCGCCCACATGGGAGACCCTGAAGAAACTTCTGGCTTTGGATTAGCCCAGCTCTGGCCATTGTAGCCATTTAGAGAGTGAACCAGTGGATAGAAGATTCCCTCCCCTGCTGTAAATCTGCTTTTCAAATAAATAAATCTTTTAAAAAATTCAAATGGTTATTGTCATCTAGTCAGTTTGGGAGTGGTTGGGTGCTGGAGTCTCTCTCTCTTTTTTTTTTTTTTTAAGATTTTATTTATTTTATTTGAGAAGTAGAGTTATAGACAGTGAGAGGGAGAGAGAGAGAAAGGTCTTCCTTCCGTTGGTTCACTCTTCAAATGGCTGCAACGGCTGGAACTGCACTGATAGGAGCCAGGAGCCAGGCGCTTCCTCCCGGTCTCCCACGTGGGTGCATGGGCCCAAGGTCTTGGGCCATCCTCCACTGCTCTCCCAGGCCATAGCAGAGAGTCTGATTGGAAGAGGAGCAACAGGGACTAGAACTAGCACCCATATGGGATGCCGGCACCACAGGCAGCGGATAAACCCACTGCACCATGGCGCCGGAACCATTATTTTTTTTTTTTTTTAAGATTTATTTATTTACTTTGAAAGAGTTACACAGAGAAGGAGAGGCAGAGGGGGAGAGAGAGAGGTCTTCCATCTGCTGGTTCACTCCCCAGTTGACCACAATGGCTGGAGCTGCGCTGATCTGAAGCCAGGAGCCAGGAGCGTCCTCTGGGTCCTCCCATGCGGGTGCAGGGGTCCAAGGGTCTAGGCCATCTTTAGCTGCTTTCCCAGGCCACAGCAGAGAGCTGGATCAGAAGTGGAGCAGCTGGGTCTTGAACCGGTGACCATATGGAATGCCGGTACTGCAGGCGGTGGCCCCACCTGCCATGCCACAGTGCCAACCCCTGGAGTTTCATTTTAACACTGATGGTTTCTAGTTTTGATAGCCACCAGGGTTGTGCAAGGTGTTAACAAAACTGGAAACTGGATGAAGGATACAGGAACTCTATACTATCCTGGCAACTTTTATTTTAAAATTTATCCAAAATAGAAAATCAATTGGAAATAAAAGGTAGGTGAGCCAAGAGGCAGAGGAGAAAAGCGGAGACTGATGTGGAAAGGCAGGTTCGGGTGGCTGGAGGGATGGTGTTGAAGCCCCAGCCACACGGGAAGACCTGAGTCTAGCAGTCAGGCCGCCTGGATTCTGACGTTGCCTTGTTGCAGACTTACTGGAAACAGGTTATCTCGGGTCCTGGTGCCTCTTTTTCCCTATCCGTAATATGGGGCATACAGCATCTATTCTGCTCTGTAGAAGAGCAGAAGCTTGCAAGGAAAAGACTTTGAAAAATAAAGCACGCTTAAACACTCACAGTGATGTTTTTATTAGGAGTCTGAGCTCAGCCTGGTGTGTTTAGGGGGTGGGTTGGGCAGTTCCAGCAGATGATGGTTGCGGAGGGTTACGTTTTTTGTGGTCCTGGCAGGAAGTGTGCGTCATACTTGTTTAAAGGACTATTAGACTCCCACTGCCTCTTCTTCCTATTTCTCATTAGACCATCTTCTCCCCTTCTTCCCCGTTTCCTGCTTGCCTTTGCAGAAGCCTCTGGTAAAGGACCGGGACCCTGATCTCCTATACTTTGCTGATGTCTGTGCGGGCCCAGGTGGCTTCTCGGAGTATGTGCTGTGGAGGAAGAAGTGGCACGCAAAGGGCTTTGGGATGACTCTGAAGGGCCCTAATGACTTCAAGCTGGAGGACTTCTACTCGGCCTCCAGTGAACTCTTCGAGCCCTACTACGGTAGGGACACTGAGGAGAGCACTTGGTGGTATGAGGGTGGCCCTGTGGGGCGCTGCAGGTTGGAAGCAGCTGTTACCCACATGCCATGTTTTCTTCCCTCAGGCCCTGGGTCCAGGCTTCATTGACCCTGTTGTGAGAGCTGGTTCCCTCTAGACTGTCCTGGGTTTGCAGAATACAGGTTAAACACTCCACTAGGCTTACTCTCATTGAAGCCATATTAATCCCTCCTTCCAGGAGCATTCTTTTGTGGTGACAGGAGATAATGAAACTGCCTGATCCCTGGCTGAGAACTGGCAAGGTTATTAACAAATACACACCCCATGCCCATCTCCAGCCCTGTCACGGGTGCAGAATGCCCTGGGTACAGAGCTCAGCGGCTCTTCTCTATCTTGATTGTTGTGATTTATCTGCAAATCCTGGGTCCTTCCTTAACAGTCTTCAGTAAAAAATGGATGTTGATTCTCAAGTGTAGGTTCATTAAACACAACTGGGTCTTGAAGAGGAAGGCCCTCTGTTTCAGTTGCTAACCGTTAGCTGGTCAACTTTTGGATCTGGCCTAATACAGCAGGCCTTGTTCTTCCTCCTGGCCAATCACTCTTCAGTCAGCTGTATAGGATGGGTGCCGTGTCTCAAGAGTCCCGTAGTACCTCTGGTCATTGTCCCACAGAGCTTGTGTCCCAGCTTCTGGGACTACAAGGCAGGTAAGTGCCTTGTGACACTTGTGTCCTACCAGGTGAGCATGGGATCGATGGAGATGGAGATATCACCCGCCCAGAGAACATCAGTGCTTTTCGGAATTTTGTCCTGGATAATACAGATCGGAAAGGTGTCCACTTTCTGATGGCTGATGGGGTAGGTGACCTATGAGAGATTTGTTATTTCAGAGGTTTGGGAATTGTTTTTGGTTGGGTCTTTTAGCTACACCCAAAGAAGATAGCTCACTATTCAGAAAGGTAGGATTTACATTTCTATTCTTTTTCTACATATTTTCTATGATAATTTTGTAAAGACTGTGATGTTGTGGATTCTTTTGCTTGGAACAGGGTGGAACTTCTTAGCTCACTTCATCAAAGGGCTTTTTTGGCCATGAGGAATGATGAGACAAGGACCATTACCAAAACCAACTACAGGCAAAGCTGAAGAAGCATTAGTTCCTTGGTGTTGCTCGTGGTGAGAGCTGTCTATGTGTGGCCACTCCTAAGCCTGGCAGAGGCTCGACAGGCAACTCAGAGGCATCCCCAAACTCTGTCAGTGGCTGGGCTATGCTGCTTGAGGCACCCAGTAATCTGACACCGGAGGCAATGCTTCCTGCATTCCTTACAGAAAGGACAGAGAGTGTGGCTGTTGCTCCAGGGTTATGTGGCTGCAGGAGAGAAAAGCCCCTGGAGCTTGTTGGGTGGCCTCTCAGGCAGCGGGTGAAGGAAGGGGGTCAGGATGGTGGCCCAGGATCGGAAGGTGCCCTGGCTCCCCAGAGCAGTGTGCAGAGCAGCAGACAGCAGGGAGCCAGGCTCGGGCCGGCTGGAAGGGAAGGCTGCTCCTGCCGAGTAGAAGGGGGTCTCAGTACTTGTGAGGTGCCCTTGCAGTCTGGGTTGCCCTGCTTTGACCCTGTGGAGGATTGCTCACCTGGGCTGCTTTTTATTTTTAACTTAGGAACAGACATGCATTTGGGGAAGTGTCTGTAAGTCTGAAAGACATTGCTAAACATTTTTAATTCTGAGTTAGCTCTACTTTTGTAGGACTGAGCCAGGAAGATTTGACCTGGCTAGGGTCAGCTTAATGAAGACTAGCCTCCATTTTTAGTTTGTTTTTTAATTGTAAAAAACACATAACAAAATTTATTAAGTTAATCATTTTTTTAAAAGATTATTTATTTGAAAGGCAGAGCTAGAGGCAGAGAGAGAGAGGTCTTTTAACCACTGGTTCACTCCCCAGATGGCCGCAATGGCTGGAGCTGGGCCGATCCAAAGCCTGGAGTGAGGAGCTTCTTCCAGGTCTCCCACACAGGTGCAGGGGTCCAAGGAGTTGGGCCATCTTCTGCTGCTTTCCTAGACCATAGCAGAGAGCGGGATTGGAATTGGAGTATCCGGGACTCAAATTGGTGCCCGTATGGGATGCCGGCACTGCAGGCAATGGCTTTACCTGCTACGCCACAGCACCGGCCCCTATCTTAATCATTTTTAAAGTTTTTTTTTTTTTTTTTAAGATTTGTTTATTTATTTGAATGGCAGAGCAATAGAGAGATGGGGAGAAACAGAGAGAGAGATACATTCTGTTCACTGGTTCACTCCCCATATAGCTATAACAGCCAGGTCTAGGCCAGGCTGAAGCCTGGTCTCCCACATGGGTGCCAAGGGCCCCATCACTTGGACCATCTTCTGTTGCCTTCCCAGGCACATTAGCAGGAAGCTGGATTGGAAGTGGAGCAGTGGAGACTTGAATTGGCACTGCAATATGGGATCTGGCATCACAAGTAACTGCTATGCCACTTTAAGTTTTCTTTTTAAATTTTTTGTCTCTTTGAGATGCAGATAAAGAGAACTCCCATGCACTGATTCACTCCCCAAATGCATGTAACAGCCAGAGTTGAGCCAAGCTGAAGCCAGGAGCTGGTAACTCAATCCAGATCTCCTGTGTGGATGGCAAGGCCCCAGTTACCTGACCCATTATCTGCTTCTTTCCGGGGTACACATTAGCACGCATCTAGAATCAGAAATGGGATCATGACTTGAACCCAGGACTCCACTGTGGGATGTGGGTGTTCCAAGCAACATCTTAATTGCTAAGCAAACACTGTCCCCTAACAGTTTTTAAGTGCACACTGCAGTAGTGTTAAGTCTGTGCACATTGTTGTGCAGCAGTTCTCCAGGGTTGTTATTGTTTGGTGCTTTTTTTTATTTTTTGCAGAACTGAAGCTCTATGCCCGTTGAACAACTCCCTGCCCCTTTGCAATCCCCTGGCCTCCTTTACTCCTTTTTCTTTTTTCCCAAAGAAACCATTTATTTAATGAGTACAAATTTCATAAGTATAACTTTAGGAATATAGTGATTCTTCCCATCATATGCACCCTCATTCCTACTCCCACCCCACTTCCCCCTCCCTCTCCCATACCCAGTCCCATTCTCCATTAAGAAAAAAAAAACCTGTTCTTCAACAGTCAAGACAAGTGCTGTTCAAGTCATTGCTTCTCAAAGTGTTCATTTCACTTCTACAGATTTCCTTTTAGGTGCTCTATTAGTTATCACAGATCAGGGAGAACCTATGGTATTTGTCTCTTTGGAACTGGCTTATTTCACTAAGTATGCTGTTTTCCAGATTCATCCATTTTGTTGTAAATAATTGGATTTCATTTTTTTTTTACCACTGTGTAGTATTCCATAGAGTACAAATCCCATGATTTCTTTATCCAGTCTTCAGTTGACAGGCTTTTTTTTTTTTTTTGACAGGCAGAGTGGACAGTGAGAGAGACAGAGAGAAAGGTCTTCCTTTGCTGTTGGTTCACCCTCCAATGGCCGCCGCGGCCGGCGCATCGCACCTATCCGAAGGCAGGAGCCAGGTGCTTATCCTGGTCTCCCATGGGGTGCAGGGCCCAAGCATTTGGGCCATCCTCCACTGCACTCCCTGGCCACAGCAGAGAGCTGGCCTGGAAGAGGGGCAACTGGGACAGAATCTGGTGCCCTGACCGGGACTAGAACCTGGTGTGCCGGCTCCGCAAGGCGGAGGATTAGCCTACTGAGCCGTGGCGCCGGCCCAGTTGACAGGCATTTAGGTTGATTCCATGCCTTAGCTATTGTGAATTGAGCTGCAGTAAACATGGGGGTGCAGATAACTTTTATTTGCTGATTCATTTCCCTTGGGTAAATTCCCAGGAGTGGGATGGCTGGGTCATATGGTAGGTCTATATTCAGATTTCTGGGCCTCCTTTGCTTCTATGTAAGCTCGACCATCGGCTGTCTTCTCCGTGTTGGAATCTCACAAGGACAGAGACCACTCTAGGTATAGCAGCTCAGACATTCTTTGAGAAAACACCCTGGCCAGAGAGGCTGCCAGCTGGAGGAAAGAGGCTTCCTGGTCTTAGGACAGGGAAGGGGGTGTCATAAGTACATCCTTGGCTGTCAGAGAGGGAGGTAACTGTGGCTGTCAGAGCTGTGTTCACTTTTCTCCTGTTTTCAGATTGGGGCCTGTCAGCGGTATGTGCAGTACTTAGTGAGCCCGAGCAGAATATTTCCACTGTATTCAGGGCATTTTAAGTCCTGTCCTGTGGCTGGCCCAGGAATAGCCAGTGTTTACCTGAGTTCTGCCTTACTCTGTCCTGGATGTCTCCCTGAATTTAAAAATGCTCATGAGCATCTCTTTGGAAAAGCAGACTTGGTTCCTTCCCCTGGGAGGGACAGAGCAGAGAAGTAGCCCTGCGCCGGTAGTGGGCCGGGGCCTCGGAACCTGTTGAGCCGTGTGACACTGCCGGAAGAGCTGCCCTGCGAAGCTGTGTGCTGGTCAGCTGGTAGAGGTCAGGAGAATACTTCAGGACCTCCTGATGGAGATGAGCCGGGGGTGCTTTGCTTACCACTTCTCCTTCTCACCCCAACACTTGTGCTCTCATTTCAGGGTTTCTCGGTGGAGGGCCAGGAGAACCTGCAGGAGATCCTCAGCAAGCAGCTGCTGCTGTGCCAGTTCCTGATGGCACTGTCCGTGGTCCGCACAGGTGCCGTGTCCGCCCCCTCTGCAGGACCCTTAGAGGCCCTGCTGGACAAGAGCATGTTCAGGGGTTGGCTGGGAAGTTAAAAAAAAAGAAAAAGAAATCTTCTTAGATCAGGTGTCTAAATAAGGAATTTAGGGAAGAAAGGTTTATGGAATCTCCAGAATGTTCTCCCAGGGTGATTCTCCCTGTTCTGACTTCTAATAAACCCAGGTGCTGGTTTCTTTTTTTTTTTCTTTTTTTTCTTTTTTATTTTTTGACAGGCAGAGTGGACAGTGAGAGAGAGAGACAGAGAGGAAGGTCTTCCTTTGCCGTTGGTTCACCCTCCAATGGCCGCCGCGGCTGGCGCGCTGCGGCCGGCTCACCGTGCTGATCCGATGGCAGGAGCCAGGAGCCAGGAGCCAGGTGCTTTTCCTGGTCTCCCATGGGGTGCAGGGCCCAAGCACCTGGGCCATCCTCCACTGCACTCCCTGGCCACAGCAGAGAGCTAGCCTGGAAGAGGGGCAACCGGGACAGAATCCGGCGCCCCGACCGGGACTAGAACCTGGTGTGCCGGCGCCGCTAGGCGGAGGATTAGCATAGTGAGCCGCGGCGCCGGCCCAGGTGCTGGTTTCTTGACTTTGTCCTATTACCTCCCTGAGACTGGCTCAGTCAGCTCCTTGGAGAGTCTCACTGACTGTTCTTGATGTTTTCTCTCTAATCCAGGCGGCCACTTCATCTGTAAAACCTTTGACCTGTTCACACCATTTAGCGTGGGGCTCATCTACCTGCTGTACTGCTGCTTTGAACGAGTGTGCCTCTTCAAACCCGTTACTAGCCGTCCTGCCAACTCAGAGAGGTGAGGCCCTCCTTTGTCTTTCAGCCAGGATAGTTAGCTGTGTGTCAGGACAGCAAGCCCTGGTGCATCTCCCTGGCATGAACTCTACACTGAAACGTTTCACCTTAAAGAAGTGATGAGAGAGAGAGAGAGTCAGGATACTTGGCTCTCAGTAGTCCTGTGATGTGCCAGCTCATCCTCACCTCCTCCACAAGCCTTATCTGCATGCGTATTTGGGGGATTTTTAGATTGCCCTGAGGAAAGGTGACCAATAATAAGGACACTTGGAGGGACAGGAATGAGGAAGGGGCAAGAGAACTGCCATCCAGAGGCACTGCTGGCATCCCAGGTGGACCCAGTACCTACACATGAGATGAAAGTACAGCCAATCAGAATTGCCAGATGGCTTGTAAAAACAGATTGCTGGGCTTTGCACTTGGGGAGTCTGAGTCACTAGGGCTGTAACTGAACAATTTGCCTCCCTAGGTGACAAGGATGCAGCCTGTCTGGTGCAGCGTGTTGGAAGCCACTGCCTCAGAGAGTAGAAACACAGTCTGACATAAAAGGGAAGGGTTTGAGGTCAACTTTGGCAGCACAGAGTCTGTGTATGCTGTTCTTTGTGCTCAGACTGAGAGTTGAACAGGGAAGCTGTTAGCTTTGTGACTCGGCAGGGGTTGGGAGGAAAGGCATGTGTGGTGTGGTGAGGAAGCCCTTGCTTAGCGGAGTGACGGTGTCTCCTGCCAGGTATGTGGTGTGTAAGGGCCTGAAGGTGGGCATAGATGACGTTCGGGATTACCTCTTCTCGGTGAATATTAAGCTCAACCAGCTGCGAAACACCGATTCCGATGTCAACCTTGTGGTCCCCTTGGAGGTGATCAAAGGAGATCATGAATTTACTGACTACATGATACGGTCTAATGAGAGGTAAGCCAACCAGCTGTTTGTGCAGGGCCCCCTGGGGCACCAAGGAAGACCAGAGCATTAAGGACTAAATACAGTGACTGGTTCTTGCTATTACTTTGTCAACCCTGAAAATCGGTTACTGGGTTTGGTCCAGGGCTCCCCAGGAATTTGGAGACCTTTGGGGTTCTCATCTTGCTTCCATGTCCTGTCATAAGGCCTATAGGTGGGTTTCTGGCTGGGAAAGGCGTTGTAGGCCTGCCCAAAGGCATCTGAATATGACTGTGAAAACCCCCAACAGCTTGTTCCCTGGAGGCACAGCGATGTCCATTTAATTGGTGCTGTTTGTAAAAGACCACCGCGGTTGTTGCTTTGTGAAAGGTGCCCTCTTTGGATGCAGAAGAGGGCTGGATAGCAGGTGTACAGACATGCTTTTGAAGTGACAAAGCTTTTACCAGTTCACGAGTTCCTTCAGATGGATAATCTGGATATTGGTTTTTATTACCTTCTTCAATTTGTTTGTCTTCCCCTTCCGCTCACCCATTAGTGGCAGTAATTTAAAGTTGTGACAGTTGATTCAGTTCTCAGTGAGCAGGCCTTAGAAAGATGGAGGGTTGTATGGTGGTAATGAATCAGTACCGAACAGGGTGTTCAAAAGGCCAATCACAAGTCTCCTGGAGAAGTTGGGACGTGTAGGTGGCCCTGGAGGAATGGTAGAAGGAGAGGAAATTTTTTTTTTTTTTTTAATTGAAAAGCAGAGACGAAGAGACAGATCTCCATCCTTTGGTTCACTCCCCAAATGGCCACGACAGCCGGGGCTAGGCCAGGTTGAAGCCAAGAATCAGGAATTCCATCCAGGTCTCCCACATGGGTGGTAGGGGCCCAAGTACTTGGGCCATCTTTTACTGCTTTCTCAGGCACATTAGCAGAGATCGGGATCAGAAGTGGAGCAGCTGGAACTCAAGCTGGTGCTTATTTGGGATGGTGGCATTGCAGGTGGCAGCTTAGCCCGCTGTGCCACAATGCTTGCTTTTCCCTGGTATTCCAGCATCCCATAGTATTTTAACTTTCCTCAGAACTGTTTCATAAACTCTCTCATCTTGTTAGTAATGCTAGGTACCAAGGTGCAGCAGACACTCAGTTTTAGCATGTTACAGGTAAGGAGACTAGCCAGGGAGCAGCCTAGAATCCACAAAGGTAGGGCTTTGCAGCACAGTGGGACCATGTACTCGTTTTGCTGAACCAGGCATCTGCTACAGATGCACATGGATGTATGGCAGAACTAAACTTTTTTTTAAGATTGATTTATGTGAAAGGCAGAGTTGAGAGAGAGAGAGAGAAAGAGGGAGGTGGGGGGAAGGAGGGAGGGGTCTTCCATCTGCTGGTTCACTCCCCCAAATGGCCACAACAGCCAGGCCATTTGGACCAAGCCAAAACCAGGAGCCAGGAATTTCATCTGGGTCTCCCATGTGGGTGGCAGGGGCCCTAGCACTTGAGCCATAACCTGCTGCTTCCCAGGTTCAGTGACACTAAGGATGTTCGCGTTGTATAGCCATCAACACTATTTCCATAATGCTTTCATCATCTTAAACAGGAACTCTGCCAATTAAGCAGTGATTCTCCAATTTCCCCTTCTCCCAGACCCTGCTTACCTCTTTTGGACTTTCTGTGTTTGAATTTGCTTATTCTCTCATATAAAAGAATCTTACAGTAATTTTACTATTGTATTTAGCTTATATTTAGCAGATAAATCATGCTGTAGCAATTATAATTCTATTCCTTTTTAAAAGTGAATAATATTTCATTGTGTGTATATGTGCTGCATTTTGCTTATCCATTGATTTTTTTTTTAAAGGGTTTATTTCTTTATTTGAAAGGTAGAGTTACAGACAGTGAGAGAGAGAGAGAGAGAGAGAGAGAGAAAGGTCTTCCTTCCATTGGTTCACTCCCTAAATGGCCACAACGGCCTGAGCTGCGCCAATCCGAAGCCAGGAGCCAGGAGCTTCTTCCTGGTCTCCCATGTGGGTGCAGGGGCCCAAGGAGTTGGGCCATCTTCTGCTTTCCCAGAAGATAGCAGAGAGCTGGATTGGAAGAGGAGCAGTTGGGACTAGAACCAGTGCCCATATGGGATGCTGGCGCCGCAGGCAGGGGATTAACCAAGTGAGCCACGGCGCCAGCCCCCTATTGATGGATGTTTAGGTTGGTTTTCACCTTACAGCTGTTGTGAATAATAGTGCTGTGAACAATGGTGTGTAAATACCTGCTTGAGTTCCTGTTTTCAGTTCTGTTGAGGTATATCTAGAAGTGGAATTCCTGGATCATGTAGCTTTATTGTTTTTTAGGAACCACTGTATTTTCCACAGTGACTGCAGCAGCAGTAATACACAAGGGTTCAAATTTCAGGGGCCAGTGTTGTGGAGCAGTGGGTTAAGCCACCCCTGCAGTTCCAGCATCCCATATGAGCACTAGTTTGAGTCCCAGCTGCTCTGCTTCCACTCCAGCTCTGTACTAATGTGCCTGGGAAGGCAGTGGACGATGGCCCAAGTACTTGAGCCCCCTTCCGCCCACATAGGAGATCTAGATGGAGTTCTGGGCTCCTGGCTTCTGCCTGTCCCAGGCCCAGCTGTTGCAGGCATTTGGGGAGTGAACCAGTGGATGGCAGGTCTCTTTCTGTGTCTTCCTCTCTTTTTCTGTCACTCTGCCTTTTTTTTTTTTTTTTTTTTTGGACAGGCAGAGTTAGAGAGAGGGGCAGAGAGAAAGGTCTTCCTTTTCCGTTGGTTCACCCCCCAAAATGGCCACTACCGCTGGCACGCTGTGCTGATCCGAAGCTAGGAACCAGGCGCTTCCTTCTCGTCTCCCATGCGGGTGCAGGGCCCAAGCACCCGGGCCATCCTCCACTGCCTTCCCAGGCCACAGCAGAGAGCTGGACTGGAAGAAGAGCAGCCGGGACAGAACCTGGCGCCCCAACCAGGACTAGAACCCGGGTGCCGGTGCTGCAGGCGGAGGATTAGCCAAGTGAGCCGCGGTGCTGGCCCACTCTGCCGTTCAAATAAATAAAATCCTGCTTTTTTTAGAGTTCATATTTCTGTACACTCTGACATTTGTTATTTTCCAATTTTTATGATAGACATCCTAATATATATGAAGTAGTATCTAATTGAGGTTTTGATTTGCATTTCTCTGACTAGTGATACTGAGCATCTGTTCATGTGATTATGGGCCATTTGTATCTCTTTGGAGAAATGTGTATTCAAATCTTTTGTCCATTTTTTAATATTGCATTGAGTAATGGTAGTTCATTATGCTTTCTGGATATTACTCCTTATCAGATTTAAATTTCAAAATATTAACTCTCTGTGATTTTTTTCACTGTTTATTGTGTCCTTTGCTGCACACAGAAGTTTTCAGTTTTGATGTGGTCCAGTTTACCTATTTTTTGTTATTGCTTGAGCTTTTGGTATCATATCCATGAAATCATTACTATGTCATAAAGCTTTTCCCTTATATTATATTCTAAGAGTTCTATAGTTTGAGCTCTTACATTTATGTTTCGATCCATTTTGAGTTAACTTTTGTGTATTGGATTAGATCCAACTTCACGCTTCTGCATATGAATATCCAGTTTTCCCAGCACTGTTTGTTGAAAAGACTGTCCTTTCTCCACTGAATGGTCCTGCACCTTTAATGAAAATCATTTGACCATATGCATAAGAGTCTTTCTGGGCTCTCTGTTCCATTGGCTAAGGTCACACTGCTTTGTTTACTATAGCTTTGTAGTAAGTTCTGAAATTGAAAAGTATGGATCCTTCAACTTTACTTGTCATTTTCAGTGTTCTTTTGGCTATTTGGGGTCCGCTGAGATTCCATATGAATTATAGGCTGGATTTTTCTGTTTTTTGCAAAAACCACTTTTGGAATTTCATAGATTAAAATGTATGTTACTTTAGACAGTATTGTCATCTTTTTTTGGTGGGGGAGGTAGCAGCTTCCTCCAGGTCTCCTACATGGGTGCGGGGGCCCAAGCACTTGGGCCATCTTCTGCTGCTTTCCTAGGTGCATTAGCAGGGAGCTGGATTGGAAGTGGAGCAGCTGGAACTTGAACTGGCGCCCATTTGGGATGGGCCATATGCAGTGGGCACATTGCAGGCGGCGGCTTTACCCGCTATGCCACAATGCCAGTCCCTTGTATTGTCATCTTAATGAGTCTTCCAGTTTCTGAACACTGGGTGTTTCCATTTATTTATGTCTTCCTTCTTTCAAGCAGTGTTTTGTGGTTTTCAGTTACAAGTCTTTCACATCCTTGGTTCAATTGATCCATAAGTATTTTATCCTTTTCTTTTTGTTAATGTAATTTTACTTGAAAGTCAGAGTTACACAGTGAGAGGAGCGGCAGAGAGACAGAGGTCTTCCATTCGCTGGTTCACTCCCCAGTTGGCTGCAACGGCCAGAGCTGCGCCTATCTGGAGCCAGGAACTTCTTTCAGGTCTCCCACATGGCGGGAGGGGCCCAAGGACTTGGACAGTCTTCACTGCTTTTCCTGGCCCATTAGCAGAGAGCTAGATCAGAAGTGAAGTACTTGGGACTTGAACCGATGCCTGTATGGGATGCCGGTACTGCAGGCCAGGGCTTTAACTTGCTGCGCCACAGTGCCAGCCCCTACAATTGACTTTTTTTTTTTTTTTAAAGATTTATGTATTTATTTGAAAGTCAGAGTTACACAGAGAGAAGGAGACGCAGAGAGAAAGTCTTCCATCCAGTGGTTAATGCCCTAGTTGGCCGCAGTGGCCGGAGCCAGGAGCCAAGAGCCAGGAGCCTCCTCCGGGTCTCCCACGCGGGTGCTGGGGCCTGAGGACTTGGGCCATCTTCTACTGGGACTGGAACAGCGGGGACTAGAACCAGCGCCCATATGGGATGCCGGCACTGCAGGCGGCGGCTTTACCCACTATGCCACAGTACCAGCCCCATACAGTTGAGTTTTGTATATTGCCTGTATCCTGTGAGAATGCTTGATTTACTTATAAATGCTAGTAGATTTTGGCAGGTTCCTTAAGATTTTTTACATGCCGAATCATGAAGAAAAAGATAGTTCACTCTTTTCTTTCCAATTTCTTTGTCTTGCCTTTCTTTTCTTGTCTTATGGCACTGATTGTTCCTCCAGTATAATACTGAGTTGATGACATCAACCATCTTGCCTTGTTCCTCTTTTTTTTAATTTATTTTTTTATTTTTTGACAGGCAGAGGTAGACAGAGAGCGAGAGAGAGAAAGAGAGAGAAAGAAAGAAAGGTCTTCCTTTTTCCGTTGGTTTACCCCCCAAGTGGCTGTTGTGGCTGGCGTGCTGCGGCTGGCGCGCTGCGCGGATCCGAAGCCAGGAGCCAGGTGCCTCATCCTGGTCTCCCATGCAGGTGCAGGGCCCAAGCACTTGGGCCAGCCTCCACTTCACTCCAGGCCACAGCAGAGAGCTGGACTGGAAGAGGAGCAACTGGGACAGAATCCCGTGCTCCGACCGGGATTAGAACCCAGGGTGCTGGTGCCACAGGTGGAGGATTAGCCTATTGAGCCGCGGTGCCGGCCCTTACTCCTCATTTTTTAGTGTGCATGTTCAACCATGAAGTATTATGCTAGCTATATAGTTTTTTGTGGATGTCCTTTATCAAGACAACTTTTCTTTTATTCCTAGTTTGCTGGAAATTTTTGATCATGAATAGATGTTTAACCTTGTTAAATATTTCTGTTGTATCTATAGAAATTTTCTTTTTTAGAGATTTATTTATTTATTTGAAAGGCACAGTTATAGAGAGAGAGACAGAAGGAGAGACAGAGAGAGAGTGATCTTCTATCAGCTGGTTTACTTCCCAGATGACCTCAAAAGCCTGGACTGGATCAGGCCAAAGCCAGGAGCTTCCTCTGGGACTCCCACGTGGGTGCAGGAGTCCAAGCACCTGGACCATCCTCTGTTGCTTTCCCAGGCCATCAGCAGAGATCTGGATCGGAAATAGAGCAGCTGGGACTCAATCCGGTGCCCATAAGGGACTCCAGCATGGCAGGCAGCAGCTTTAACCTGCTGAGCCACAGCGCCAGGCCCAGAAATTTAATCATGTAGGATGTTAGTTCCTAATTCTATATTCATCTGAAGTCTTTGGTTGTAGTATCAGGGTTAGGCTGTTTTTATAAAATGATTTAGAAAGTGTTTCCTATTTTTATTTTCTGAAACAATTTATATAAGATTGGCAGTTAATATTTTTTAAATCATTGATAGTGGAGCCATTTGAGCCTGGAGTTTCTGTTTTGAGAAATTTTAAAATTCAATGTCTTGGGGTAGATATTTGGCACAGCGGTTTAGACACTGCTTGGGACACCACATCTCACATCAGAGTGCCTGGTGCAAGTCTCGGCTGCGTGCTCGATGGCAGCCTGGGAGGGCCGCAGCAGATGATCCAGCACTTGGGCCCCTGCCACCCATGTGGGAGACACAGATGGAGCTCCAGGCCTCCTAACTTTGGCCTTGCCCAGCCCTAGCCATTGCAGCCATCTCAGGAGTGAACCAGTAGATGAAAGATTCTCTCTCTCTCTCTTTTACTCTACCTTTCAAATAAAATATTTAAAAAAAAAATACAGGTACTGGGGCTGGTGTTGTGGCACAGTGGGTTGAGCTATGCTTGTGATCCCAGCATCTCATAGTGGATCATCAGTTTGGGTTCCACCTTATATCTGCTTCTGATCCAGCTCGCTGCTAACTTGCCAGGGAAAGCAGCAGATGATGGCCCAAGTGCTTGGACCCCTGCACTCACTTGGGAGACCTCGCTGGAGCTCCGGGCTCCTGGCTTCAGCCTGGCCTAGCACCAGCCATTTTTGTGACTATTTGGGGAGTGAACCAGAGGATGGAAAATCTGTTTCTCTCTCTATTGCTCTACCTTTCAAAGAAAAATAAAAATCTTTAAGTAAAACAGAAGTTACTTTATCTTTGCTCAAATTCTCCATCTTTTTGTGTGTATTGCCTGCCTTTTCCAGTAGATCTTTTAACATGTTTATCACTATCTAAAGGCCCCATCCAGACTTTCAGTGTTTCAGCCATCTCTGGGTCTTGTTCTGTTGGGCCGTTTGCCGCCATCATTGTGTCACATTTTCTTGCTTTGTATGCCTCCTAACTTTTTATTCAATGCAAGATGTTATGTGTAATAGGGAAGAGTAAAAAAGAAAGGGCAGCTATCAATATGAATGGGTTCAGCCAGCTTAGTATGTAATTGAACTGCAACTAGGATTTGTTGTTGCTTTAATTACAATATTTGTCACTGGTTTCAAATTATTATTATTTTAAAGATTTACTTTATTTATTTGAAAGAGTTACAGAGAGAGAGGGAGAGAGAGAGAGAGGTCTTCCATCCAGTGGTTCACTCTCCAGAAGGTCGCAACAGCCGGAGCTGTGCTAATCCGAAGCCAGGAGCCTCTTCCGGGTCTCCATGTGGGTGCAGGGGCCCAAGGACTTGGGCCATCTTCTACTGCCATCCCAGGTCATAGCAGAGAGCTAGATTGGAAGAGGAGCAGCTGGGACTAGAACCAGCACCCATATGGGATGTCGGCGCTTCAGGCCAGGGCTTTAACCTGCTGCACCACAGTGCCGGCCCCTGATTTCAAATTATGTAAAGGTAGAATCAAAAGCTTTCTCTTCAGTAGGACTTGGGATTGAGTGTCTAGAGGGTTCGACGCGATTCTTTCCCTCTGCCCTTAGCCTCCGGTGGGCTCCATAGAACTGCACCTTGGAGTGGCCCTCTCTCAACCACTCAGCCTATTCCCTAAATATAGATGGCCATAGCTCTGGCTATGTCCTGATGTCATGTGGCTGTCTTGTGTGGAAATCCTTCTGAGATCAAACCATTTCTTTCTCTACTAGCCATTGTAGTCTGCAGATCAAAGCTCTGGCCAAAATCCACGCCTTTGTTCAAGACACGTAAGTGTTGCCTCCTTTTCTGAATTCACCTATTTCAAGGGAAGATTTGTTTGCTCCTCCCCAAAGCTCTTTATTTATTTCATTGCAACAACACACACGTGGACTGTGAAGGATGTCACAGAAGCCTATGGTGTGAACTGGTCCTCAGAGACTATAAGTCGCCATTGGGCAAATAACCAGGAAAAGGAGACAGGAAGAGTTCCTAGCAGTGCCTCAGAGTCAGCAGCATGGCACAAGTGAAACACAGTGTTCAGGCGACAGAGTAAGGGGTGGGCAGGGAGAACCTCCGGTGGGGGTGACCAGGAGTTGTGGCAGCTGCACGAGGCGTGTGGACCTCTGCTGACGGGTCTTCTGTGGCGTGTCACAGAGGAGGACCCAGGACGTGCTGAAGGGTGATCGGAAGAGGGCTGTGTGGGGGCCCCGGCATAGGTGTGTGTGTTAGGGGGGTAGTCACCTTCCTTCTGTGGGGCCAACAGTGAGCAGAACCACCTCTGACCTCCCCTTTCCACAGAGAGCAGGTGTCCCGCGGTGGAAGGGGCGGTAATCCCATTCCACGTACGCCTGTCGTCAGGAGGAGCGGCCCTGAGTGCAGTGAGCACCTGGCCGCGGGGCACGGCCTTTGTGTGTGCACGTGCGTTCCGGTGTCGGCCTCCTCTGGGTTGTGGGTTGTGAGGGGCACACAGGGAGCTTGCCCCTGTGCTTTCGGAGGATTTAACCATTTCCTGGCTTCGTTTTCTCAGGACCCTGAGTGAACCTCGGCAGGCAGAGATCCGCAAAGAGTGCCTGCAGCTCTGGGGGGTGAGTGTCTCCCGGGCCTGTTGTCACTGTCGGGCCGAGAGGCTCTGGAGAGCAGGGCTGCCCCGAGCCCTGTCAGTTGCGGATCCCCGCCCACCCAACCTGGAAAGTGGCTGCCTCTAACAGTACCGCAGAGCTGGCTTCTGGGCGCTGCAGGGCGCTGCCTCCTCGGCCTGGCACTGCCAGTTTGTCAGTAGGTGGGTCAGAAGGGATGGGGTGGGAGGTGGACAGGCTTCATTTTGCTACTGGTGGTCCCTGCCCACAAAGCGCCCCAGAGAGAAGTGTGCGACCACAGGTCTGGAATCGCCCAACTCCCTCGCCCACTTTCCAGCTTCCTTCTTTTTCTCTTTTCTCCCTTTCTCCCTCCCTCCCTTCCTTCCTTCCTTTTCAAGATTTATTTATTTATTTGAAAGAGCTTCAGAGAGTCTTCTATCTGCTGGTTCAGTCCCCAGATGGCCACAATGGCTGGGTCTGGGCCAGGCTGAAACCAGGAGCTTCTTCCATGGGTGCAGGGGCCATCTGCATCTGTTTTCCCCAAGCCACTAGCAGGGAGCTGGATCGGAGGTGAAGCCCCAGGACACGAACTGGCACCCCATGGGATGGCGGCACTGCAGGCGGCAGCCTTACCCCCCACGCCACGCTGCCAGCCCAGTCCAGCTCCCTTTCTTGTGTTCCATTTCCTCTGCTGCAGTCTGAACAGGCCCCTTGCCTGCACCTGCTCACACACAGCCTTGGTCAGCAGGGCTCGTGACGGGGCTCTCCGCGCTCTCCTTTCAGATCCCAGACCAGGCTCGAGTCGCGCCTTCTTCCTCTGACCCAAAATCTAAATTCTTTGAGCTAATTCAGGTAAGTCTGACATCTGTGGTGGAAACAGGCGGTGGCCTAACTCTAGATGTGGAAGGAGTCACTGAGGCCCCAGAGCCCTGGCCTCCTGTAGGCTTGGGAGGTGCCACTGCCAAGCCCCGAGGGGCTGGGCGGAGGCCACCACAGGCAAGGACATTGGACAGATGGTGTTGAGTTCCTAGCACATCCTGATGTGCTTGTGCCCAGCACTCACGCCACTCAAGGGTGGTGCTGGCCATGGGAGCCTGGCAAGCTCAGGGTTCTGCGGGATTAGCCTGCTGAGGAGGTGTGGAATCCTGGACAGAGGGCCATGGAGCTGCTGGGGAGCCCACAGTGGGGCTGGTCCAACCCCAGCTTCTCTGTCCTGCTTGTGGTGGACGGGTGCTGTGAGTTCTTCCATGTTTTTTCTACCTCCAGCTTTTCTCATTTAAGTCTGGCCTAGATCCTGGACCAGGGTGCTGATTTGTGAGGGTCAGGGACTGAAGAAGGAGGTAGCCTCAAGAGTAGCATGTACATTTTTCTGAATGGAGTAGAGATCACTTAATTGTTCTCCAGCCAACCGCTGGAGAATCCTTGCCTTCAGTTTTATTGAAGGGCAGCTTCTATATCCTGGTGACATTTCCTTACAGCTCTGGTAAATCCATCTCTACTAGGGGCCTCGGGGTTCTTTCTTCCCCAGCCTTTCCTAATAGGTCCTGCAGGAGCACTCCAGGCAGATGGAAATAGATCCCATTTAGTGCATGGTTAGCTAGAGAAGACGCCGCAGGGAGCATGGTTCCAGAGCAAGTGCTTCCTGTCCCTGCCTCTCCCAGCCTGGCCCACCCCCTCCAGGCACCATGCTGAGTGCCTGTCCCTTCCCCCGAACCAGCAGTGTTTCCTCTGACCCACGGCTGCAGGGCACCGAGATTGACATCTTCAGCTACAAACCCACGCTGCTCACCTCCAAGACCCTGGAGAAGATCCGCCCCGTGCTGGACTACCGCTGCATGGTGTCTGGCAGCGAGCAGAAGTTCCTCATCGGCCTCGGGGTGAGTCTGCAGCGGGCTTCCTGCCCGCGCTCAGGCGGGAGCGCCTCGAGTCTGCGCACGTTCTCACGGCGCCAAGGAGCTGGCACTCAGGCCCTGGCGCAGGTGCTTGAAGCTTCGTTTCCTTTCTTCCTGAGTTTCCCTTGTGCCTTTCATTCATTCTCTTGTGTCTTCGTGTATTTATTTCTTCAACTCTGCGTGCTCTGAAGGGAACACTCCCCTTTTCCTGTGATGCAGAGCTTCCCTGCCTAGCAGCATGGTCAGTGGGCTCATCTGGCTTGAGCGCCTGCAGCCATTCTTTGCCATCACTGCCCTCACCCTGTCATCCCCTGGCTTGCAAAGACATCCCCTGTCCTTTCTCTGGGGCCCTTGGAATCCAAAATGAGGTGAGGGAGAGCCTTGGCAAATTCTTTATCTTACTTAATTGAGTAAAATTATTGCTGTTTCTTTCAGCTCTGACTTGTCTGTTTAATGTGATCCCTTCTTCAGTTACTACTTTGGTGCCTTCACACTTTGTCCTTTTCTCTTTGTACTTCTCACTCCTTGTCCTTCACCAGCCCCCCTCCCCCCACATACTCCCAGCCGGAGCTTTCTTGAGGGCCACTAATCATGACTTAGGTCTTTTGAAAGATCCCCTGCCCTGTTCCCTGGCAACAGGACGAAGCCAGATCTCTGCTTCCCTCTGCTGAGGCAGCAGAAAACTAGCACAACAAACGTCCCCTCTCCTAGACATTGTTCTCTGACGTGTCCCAACCCCCTTCGCTAGTAGCTGCCAACCCAAAGGCCTTTGGAGAACCAGGTCTCTCACTCCTCGGCCTCCGTGCCTTTCTGATTCCCCTTTCTCTCTGCCTGTAGAAGTCCCAGATCTACACATGGGATGGCCGCCAGTCAGACCGCTGGGTGAAGCTGGACCTGAAGACAGAGCTGCCCCGGGACACCCTGCTCTCTGTGGAAATTGTGCATGAGCTGAAAGGGGAGGTCAGAGGTGGTTCTGCTCCCTGTCGGCCCCACAGCTGGGGAACGGGCCTCTGCCAAGCCCGAGCTAACTTGCTGGCTTGGTGTGGTGGCTGACAGGGCCCTGGCTAGGAAGGGTTTCTAACTGTTCCTTTCCCTGAGCAGTGGCTCCAGGCCACAGGGCGTTCAGGTATGAAGGAGCAGTCGTGTGTGTGTCAGAGGGGCCCTCTGTCATCTCTGCAGTGAGGGCCTTGGGGATGCTTTCAGGCAGCGGGTTTAGTTTGACCAAGAATCCCTCGGGAAGGGACTTGTCATTCCCCGGGAGCAGTGTTAACTACTATACAATGACATTCAGAACAGTAGGCAGCGAGAGAAGTGGCAAAGGCTGGGAGCCCAGTCCTGGCTGGCCGTGGGAGGCCCATGGTGGCAGCAGCCTGCTGCCCACTGGGGTTGGGGCTTAAGGGGGCCCATCATCCAGAGCCTTGGCTTTTCACCTGACAAGCCCTGGCCGGTCTGGTGCTGAGAGGGAGGCAAGAGAAGCACCCTGCGTTTAGCTTCCCACCCTTCCCCAGCCTAGGTGGCAGCAGGCCAGCACGCTGTGGTGGGCAGAGCGGACAGTGTACTTGTCCTTCCAGGGGAAGGCCCAGCGGAAGATCAGTGCCATCCACATCCTCGACGTCCTTGTGCTGAACGGCAGTGATGTTCGGGAGCAGCACTTCAACCAGCGGTCTGACCTGGGCCCCAGGCCGGGGTGGGGTGGGGGGTGGGCAGGCGGCTGTCGGAGCTCGGCCTCTCACCTGGGCCTGATCTGCTACACGTACATCCCGAGGCTTGCCCCGCCCTGCCCATGGGCCAGTCCCAAGGGCAGAGGGTGAAATTGGTACCGGCTCCAGAGGATGCGGGGGCTTGGGCCTTGGTTGTCGTATGTGCCAGCAAGATGCCCAGACTGTGGCTGAACAAGAGGGCGACCTTGGGGGGAGGAGGGTCTTCTCGAAAGAACACGTCCTTGCTCAGGGCACCCCATTTAAGCTGGCTCACTGGAGTGGCTGCCCTGCTTTGGGGTCTTGGCACAGATGCAGAAAGTTCAGCTCAGGGCACTGAGCACCCTTTGGGAAAGCCAGCAAGACATAGGGAAACGTGAGGGAGGGCGTGGGTGCGGATGGCCTCAAAGGCGGGGTGGGCTGCCTTGCTGAGTGGCTTTGCTGTGAAGACGCCCTGGGGCAGGGGTGCTGGTGGAGTCACCGTTGTGTGCCCGACTGTCTGGGTTGCAGAATTCAGCTGGCTGAGAAGTTTGTGAAAGCGGTGTCCAAGCCCAGTCGGCCTGACATGAATCCCATCAGGTGAGCACGGCGCCCTCTCTCACTCCTCTTCCCTGTTGCTGCTCTGGCCAGTGTTGGCTTCTCCTGTCCCATGAGGGAGGGGAGGGCTCAGCAGAGGGGACTGGGCAGTTGGAGTTTGAGAGAAGACTGCCTTTGTCAAGCCGTGTTTCAGGGTGCTGGGCAGGTGGTCCCTGTGCCCCAGTGTAGCCCCCATCCTGCCCGGCAGTGGGCAAGCTGCCACAGGTGGAGGCTAAGGTGTCCTCATGGCACACGTGTGTGCTTCTGAGCACTGACGCCCAGCTGTCACCTCTACACCTGCTTGTCATTAGCCTATCACCTGTCACCTCTACACCTGGGTGTCATTAGCCTATCACCTGGCCTTTTTTATTTTTATTTATTTTTTTCCTCCCAGAAAGAAGAGTACTTAGGGAATAGGAGTGTAAGGGAGTGGTGTCCTCAGTGCTTGGGCTTTGTTTCCCTGTTAGATGTGAAGGTTCCAGGCCCCTGAAGGGGAGAGGAGGACAGATGCAGAAAAAGCTTGCCAGGGTAGCTGGGGCCTGAGGTTATCACCAAAAGGGCTCTGCTCCTCGGGGCTTCACTGGCAGTAGACGGGTCCGTTTACACTTTATTGAATCCATTTTCATCTCCCTTTTAATGTAGATTTTTTCAGTGAATTACCTCCGGAAGGGAGGGTGCACTACAGATGCCATGTCAAAGTCTGAAAGCAACTTCTGTTTTCAGATGTCCTGCCAGCCAGGAACTGCGCAGTAGCCGGAGGTCTGCCTGCTGGGCCTCCTTAGCCAGGAACCGTTGGTCAGGGCCCCCAGGGGTGGTGTCCTACATCTGGGTAGGAGTCCCCTATCCAGTATGGGTATTGGGATGGTAAGAAGGCCAAAAATCCAAGTTGACCGAAGTAGGCAAGAGCCTGACCTTTGGTTTTCTGGCCTCTGTTGACGGCGCAAGTGACCTGGGGCTGGGAATGCTGGCAGACATCTTTGTAGGCCAGACCTGTCCTCCAGGGCCCACAGTTGCACTCCTCAGTCACTCTAGGCAGGCCCGAGGAGCTGCTTGGCAGCGCTGGAAACGTAAGGTTTGTCAGGGTAGGACAGCAGTGCCCCAGGCCGGGCGGTTGCGGGGAAGGCCTGGCGCACAGGCAAGGGTGGGTGCTGCCTCCTGCCTGCCAGCTGCTTCCCGCAGAATGGCCCAGAAAGCGTGTCCTCTCCCCCTCTACCTGCAGGGTGAAGGAGGTGTACAGGCTGGAGGAAATGGAGAAGATTTTTGTCAGGTGAGTGCCTCACCCGTGGGGAGCAGGGTGGGAGGCGCAGCCTTGTCCAGGTTCTGTTCCCTCTGCCCAGGTGGGTTGGGGGTAGGGTGGCAAGTAGGCCCTAGTGGCTCCCTCCATGCCCCACCTACCTGTAGCCAGGAGCCCCCTGGCTGCGAGCTGATTGTTAGAGCTCCCCTGTTAGGAGAGGAGCAGGGTAGGTGTGTCAGGCGGAAATACAGGCTCGTTGATGCTGTACTCATTAACGGCTGTCCCTGTGAGGGGCCTGAAACACTAAATCCCAGCTCCCCATGCTGAGACTGAGCTTGAGCCTGGAGGGGTAGCGGGGGCATAAATGCCTCCTTATATTCTTTGTGGTGGGCAGGCTGTGGGTGTCTCATCCTGGGAGCCAGCAGGCTGAATCTTAGTGCCCTGGAGGTGCTCACTCTAAACTCAGTGGCCAGTGATGCCAAGAGGGGAACTGAAGACCCACTGGCACCTGTGGTCTTGTCTCCCCATTGTCGCGGTCACCTTGGAGCCCCCAAAAAGCAGTAACACGGCAGGCTCACCTGTGACTGCTCCACCTCCATTGTTTGGTTGGGAGTTGCCACCTCCTGAAGTTGAACCAGGATGAAACACTGTGGCTGGTAGGACCTTGATACTACCCAGAGGCTAATGCTGGGGCTTTTCTTTCTCATTCTTCCTGCCTGGGGAGCCAGGTTGGAAATGAAGATCATCAAGGGTTCCAGTGGCACCCCCAGGCTCAGCTACACAGGGCGGGATGACCGGCACTTTGTACCCACGGGCCTCTACATCGTCAGGACGGTGAATGGTGGGTGCCCCCTTCTCCCACTGCAAGCCAGAGTGGGGGACAGACAGGCTGCCCTGCTGAGCTCCACTGGTCCCTTAGGGGGATGGCATCTCGAGCCTCTCCTGCTGTTCTAGGTCCTGGGAGCCAGGACTGCAGGTAGAACAAGGTGGCTCCGTGGCAGAAGGGCCTTTGTGATGGCCAATAGTGGACCCAGAATGGCAAGCCTGGTGGCTTGGGGAGGGAGGCTGTATCCTCATGGGTGGCCCTCCCTGCTCCTGGAGAGAGGCAGGAGTGCCCCTGCCAGCTGGACCCGCCCCTACAGGTCCTGTGTCCTTGCTAAGTGTCCTTTGTTCTCGGCAGAGCCGTGGACCATGGGATTCAGCAAAAGCTTTAAGAGGAAGTTCTTCTACAACAAGAAAACCAAGAAGTCGACCTTTGACCTCCCCGCAGACTCCATTGCCCCATTTCAGTGAGTAGCCCCTCTCGAAGCCTGTGCTCGACAGCCCCAGTACTGTTGCCAGGATGACAGCCTGGCATCCAGTGGCACAGCAGGGCCCCCTAAAAGCTGGGAGCAGAGTGATGCCAGCCTGCTGTGATGGCTGGGGGTCCCGAGTCTGAGGGGCTGCTTGTGTGACCTGACACTGGCCTGGCAGTGGCAGTGTGCTAAGGTCTGCAGCCTGGCCCTTTGGGACTTGAGGTCCCAGGTCCCCCGGGAGCCCAGCGTCCACTGGCCAGGTCCCTCCTGTGCCTGTAATCAGTCCGACACTTGCCCCTGGCACCACAGTAATAGTGGTGGGCGAGCCCAGGACTGTCAGCGATAGGAATCCAGTTGGGTCATCTTAGCAGCCACAGCTGCTTGTTGGGGAAAGCTGGGGCCTACAGGGGACACTGAAAGGTCTCCCCTCCCTTCCCCAGCGTCACTCTTACGGGTGTGGTGGTCTTCGGCCTGTGCCGCCTGGCTGCAGCCCTCTGACCTTTTTCCCCTTGCCCTTCCCAGCATCTGCCACTACGGCCGGCTCTTCTGGGAGTGGGGGGATGGCATCCGTGTGCACGACTCCCAGAAGCCCCAGGACCCGGACAAGTTGTCTAAGGAGGACGTCCTCTCCTTCATCCAGATGCACAGCGCCTGAGGGCCGTGGGCCGCCCCACCCTGCCGCAGCCTAGTGCCCTATCGCTTCCCAAGACAGAGCAGGGCAGGGTGCTCAGGACCTGGGGCCCACAGCACTGTTTCTTCCCCCTCTTGGAAAGAGACTGGAGCACCTCAGCCTGGCCCCGAGGGTCCGTCAGGGCCTCCAGAAGACTGCACACGTTCCTCGCGGAGCCCTCTCCTGCTGAGGCAGGTGTGAGGTCACTGCCCAAGGTGTGCGGGGCAGGCGGGGCCATGGCAGAGGGCGCGGCCGCGCTCTGCCAGATCCTGTGGACTCACTTTTCTGAGTCCCATGCACGAGGGTGGCCGTGTCCCCGCTTTGCCCACGTGAGTGGGTAGAGGCCAGGAGCAGCTGCTCTACAAATCAAGGTTTTGTTTTTTAAACTTGCAGTTTTGATGCCAAGTGGGAGACTTTTTGTCTCCTCCCCTAGCCCGTCCCGGCCTTCCCAGCCTGAACCTCTGACAGTCCCGGCAGGCCGGGAAGGAAGAGTGTAGGTCTTCCCCCTTGGTACTGGGTGTGACTGCCTCCCAGCATCGTGGCGCCTCCCTGGGCCCACACCCTCGACTCAAGCCTTGGGCAACTCTAAAAGGGCAGGCATCAGCCTCTCTCTCCCTGCCAGCAGCAGCTGTTGCCCTCTGGCTGTCACACAGCTGTCTTGGCACTTTCCGGGGGGTGGGGGAGCGTAGCTCCTTGCTACCCTTCCTCGTGTTTTCCCCCAAGGAGGCATGGGCTGCTTTCGTTCAAACATGTGGTCACTCCATTTCCTGTATCTTGGCAGAGGCAGAAGGGGAAGCTGGGCAGTAGCTTTGGGTGGGGGAGGGCACCTGTGGTGGTTGTTAATGGGAAATACCTCTCATGTTCAAGTGGGCTCCCTGGAGCCCCATCCCAGTGGCAGACTGGTTTCCATGGAGATGGGGCACTGAGACTCCAGCATGGGGTCCTGCATCCAGCCCCGAGGCTGAGGCGGCACTGCTGAGATGCTGTGTTCCACCCAGTTCTGGGTCTTCCAGTGAATCCCACAGAATCTCGGATCATTAAAGATAAACATATTTTTAATGGCTGTGTGGCTCTGTGCTGGGGCTGTGCTTAGTCCTCTGTGCTTTGTGGTCTAGGACTGGCTTGGATGAAACGGCTGGAGGTGAAGGGGGAGGAAGCTGTACTCAGAGAAAACAGCACTTGTTTAATGGGAGCCAGTCCAAGCTCCTGGGCCCCCGCAGGGCTCCCAAGGCCTCTGCTTGATGCCAGAGAAGAGGCCCAGAACAGTGGGAGAAAGTCTGCAGCTCCCAGCAGAAACACGAACAGGAGCGGAGATGAACTGACAGCCCCAGGAGGGCAGGAGGCACCGTTCCCCTTTACATAAATCACACAGCTCACTCGGCAGTGGCACTGTGACAATCCAGGATCAGCCTGTGTGACTAAAATAACAGAGGCGTCAGACCAATTAATGTCACCAGACAAGGAGGAGGGAGAGATGGTCTTGCTGACCCTGGCCAGCCTCCCCACCAAAAAGGCCACTGTCACCACTGGGGGACCCCTCCCATGGCTGTGGTCCTTCCTAATCCTGCGTCTACCTTGCTGGACTCCAGGGGCCTGCCTTGGAGTCTCACAGCCTTAGGTCCCTGGCCAACTCCTTCCCCCATTTCTATTTATTTAATTGGTTTCATCTCAGCTGCCCAAGCGCCGCTTCCCAGCCTCCTCCCCTCTGCCCCATGCTGGGAGGGGCACATGCACAGAGGCCATGGTGATGTCTCTGTTCGCCCCCACCCCTGCCACTTCTCACTGCAAACCACGCCTGATTTACTGGCCACTGTCACCGTAAGTCTGATCATTACCATGGCTCTTGCTGCCCACTCCTCTTTGGGGCCTCACCAGCCCTGCCTGCCTTTCGAAGATGGATTAACTCCACGCTCCCCAGGGACCTCCACATGGCCACTTCAAGTCCCCACGCCGCCCTCTGCTGCAAAGGCTGCATTTTTTCTGCCATGATTGAGGGCAGGATGGTCTGGGGACAGACAAGTGGCAGTTTCAGCTTGGAAACTGCTGTCTGCTAGTTCCCCGCTTAGGCTGGGGACGTGCCTCCCCTCTGAGTTCTAAGCCGAGACCTCTTTCCCGTGCCCCCGCCCTGGCTGCAGTGGGACCGTGACTGTACTCGGCAGGCGGGAGCAGCCCGTGTTCTTTATTGCCTCCCCTTGGGCTTCGGGAGGAGCCAGCAGCCCCTAGGCCAGGGCGGCAAGGGGGCCTGGGCCACCAGGAGGCCGTGCTCAGGCTCTGGGCAGGGGCGTGAGGCCCTGGCCCCTGCGTCTTCCGAGGGGAAGGCTGTGCTGGCCGCCGCGGCTCCCAGACTCACATGGCCCAGCAGGTGTAGATGAGGGCCAGGAGGACGAAGATGGCCACCGAGAGCAGCGTGTTCTTTCGGTTTTCCTGCCGCAGCAGCTTCAGCTCCTTCTCTGCGGGGAACACGGGGTAGGACAGAGTTGAAGCCTGTCTGTTGCTGAAGGTGGAGGGGACACCAGCCGCTTCCTTAACGCTAACAAGGACCCTGTCCTCTACCTGGAGCCTCTCAACCTTTCACTGCCAGTCCGGTCAAGTCCCCGCGCCAGTGCTGATCGGCTGTGCCAGGGGCCTGAGGGCTCACCAAAAAGGCCGCATCTGAAAGCCAGGCTGGGGAGCAGGGTGTGTGACCCTCCAGATGAGTCCTCTGCTGCCCTCCCCGGGCTAGCGGAATGAGGGCGCTCCAAGGCGGCCAGGCCCTCACCCTAACTCCCTCCATGCCACAGGCCGGCCAGCGGCTGGGCCTCTGCAGGCTGGGCGGCCAGGCTGTGCCACCTGGATGTGAAAATCACTTAGCCCACTCCAGGCAGGCCGGACAGGCCCGGGGAGGGAGCGTCGGTGTGCTGCTACCGTGTTGACCTCGACAGGTCCTTCTGGGGTGGCCTTGCCAGCAGCACTGGCCCCCCAGGGGAGAACTAAACACGCAAGTCTGAGGAGCCTCCCTGGCCTTGGGTGCCCGGCCACTGCCTCCAGCCCCCCACCCTGGCTCTGTGCCTGGCGCCCAGAAGATGGCAGCATCGCTCCACCCGCAGGGCTCTTCTCCCAAGAGTAAGGTGGTTTTCCTCTACCACCCCCTCCCATCCACGATTCTCCTGGGACAGCGTGGAGTCTGGGGGGGGAGGGGAGCAAGCAGACCTCCCAGGTCCCTTCTGGACCTGGCTCCAGTCCAAGAGATGACAGTCATAGCCGGTCCCCCGTCCTCCTTTGAACAAAGGAACAAATCCGCTGTGTGCCCCCAGCTGGCTCCAAGAATCCCTCTGTCCTGCCACCGTGTCGGGCCCCCTGACCCTGCGTGCCCTGGGCACTGGAGGTGCAGCTGGTGACTGCGGAATTTCTCACCGTAGCTGGAGGCTTTGCTCATCAGGCTGTTCTTCTCCTTCTCCAGAGATCTTCTGTAGAGGAGAAGGAGTTTTTGGGCTGAAGCCCTGAGGGGCAGCCGGCACGGGGGCAGGTAGGTCGGGGGCTGGCTGGACAGGAGCGTTACCTGGCCTCCGGGCTCAGCTCCGCCCTGTGGAGCCTGGCGTTCACGGCCTCCAGGTCTCGCCGACACTGGGAGAGCTTTTCCTCCAGCCCGTCGATCTGAAACACCACAGGCGAGGATGCGCTCAGAGCCTCTGGCTGGCAGCAGGGGCACTGGGTGGAGGGACCCTCTCCACGTTTGCAGTGGACACAGCCTCCAGATTTTCACATCAATCTGCTGGGCATGCACTCCGGCCCGCCCGCCTGCCGTGTCCTTGCGGAGCCACCCTCTACCACCACTGCTTCAGACAGCAGCCCACACCCCACGGGGAACAGGTCCACAGCTCCCCCGAACCTGTGTGTGCAGCGCGGGCTGGGGTGGAGAGGAGCCCCCAGCTGTCTCTCGCCTCCGGAACCCAGCTGGCCCACAGCAGGGGCAAGCAGAGCCCTGAGTGCAGCACCCGTGCCAGAGGCACGTCTAGAGGGGAAGGAGACCTGGAGACGGCCCTGACTTCTGAAACACTCCTCGCTCCGGGACGTGTGATCAGACACGCAGGGGCCGAGCAGAGGGTGTTTTTCTCACAGACATACTTCATCTCAATAAATAATGCAGTCTTTTAAAGATTCATTTATTTATTTGAAAGAGTTACACAGAGGAGAGGCAGAGAGAGAGAGAGAGAGAGAGAGAGAGAGAGAGAGAGGTCTTCCATCCACTGGTTCACTCCCAAGATGGCTACACTGATCTGAAGCCAGGAGCTGCTTCCGGGTCACCCAGGCAGCTGCAGGGGCCCAAGGACTTGGGCCATCCTCCACTGCTCTCCCAGGCCAGAGCAGAGAGCTGGATCAGCCAGGACTTGACCAGTGCCCATAAGGGATGCCGGCACTTCAGGCCAGGGCGTTAACCTGCTGCGCCATAGTGCTGGCCCCCAATAATGCAGACTTCAGAATATACACTTTTGGGGCTGGCACCGTGGCTCACTTGGTTAATCCTCCGCCTGCGGCACTAGCATCCCATATGGGCACCAGTTCTAGTCCCGGTTGTTCCTCTCCCAGTCCAGCTCTCTGCTGTGGCCTGGGAAAGCAGTAAAAGATGGCCCAGGTGCTTGGGCCCCTGCACTTGCATAGAAGACCAGGAAGAAGCTCCTGGCTTCAGGTCGGCGTAGCTCTGGCCATTGCGGCCATTTAAGGAGTGATCCAATGGATGGAAGACCTTTCTTTCGGTCTGTCTGTAACTCTACCTGTCAAAATCTCTTAAAAAAAAAAAATATATATATATATATATATACACTTTCATATGAGAATAAAAGTCAGGTGAAAAACAGCACAACTCAAAAACGCTTCCATTTCTTGACTTGGTTCTTGTACAAAGACCCCATCAAGTAGCTCTAAGTTGGGTGGGAAAAAAAGTAAGCTCCTGAGGCCAGTGCTGTGGTATAGCAGGTTAAGCTACCACCTGTGATACCAGCATCCCATATGGGTGCCAGTTCATGTTCCGGCTGCTCCACTTCTGATCCAGCTCTCTGCTGTGGCCTGGGAAAGCAGAAGAAGATGGCCTAAGTGTTTGGGCTCCTGCACTTGCATGGAAGACCCAGAGGAAGCTCCTGGCTCCAGGCTTCAGCCTGGCCCAGCCCCTGGCTGTTGTGGCCATCTGGGGAGTGAACCAGCCCATGGAAGATCTGTCTCCCTCTCCCTGTAACTCTTTCAAATAAATAAATACAATAAAAATGTTTTAAAAAAAATAATTAAGCTGCTGAAAAGTTGCTTGCCAAAGGTACTGTTTGAGCAGTTTCCAAGATGTGTTCTTGGAATATTTTAGTGCAAGAATGTTTTGAAAAAATATTGGCCTGGGTTTTCCAAATCTGGGTCCTGCATCATGCAGCCGGCATGGAAAGTCCACGTCCAGGGCACGGCGTGGCACAGCAGGTTCAGCCACAGCCTGTGACACCGACATCCACACTGGAGTGCCAGCTGCTCTGCTTTCAGTCCAGCTCCTTGCTCATGCACCTGGGAAGGAAGGAGAAGATGGCCCAAAAGCTTGGGCCCCTGCCACCCATATGAGGGACCTGGATAGGGTGCCAGGCTCTTGGCTTCATCCTGGCCCACCCCCAGCTGTTGTGGCCATTTGGGAAGTGAACCAGCAGATGGAAGATCTCTGACCCTCTCTCTGTCACTCTGCCTTTTACAGAAATAAACCTTCAAAAAAACAAAAAAGTCTAAGTCTTATTGGTCGCTTCTCGGGGGCCAGGCCAGTTCTGCATCCCTACTGGCAGGAGCCTAGATCTCGGTGGGTGGGCTCTGTCACACACAGCGGGCCTACAGTAGTGCCTGCTGGTCCTGTAATGCTCCACTTCTCCTCTCTGATTTCACTCATTCTCATCACATCCCTGGGAGGGCTAGCAAACATGATCTCCATGTGACAAGTGGTAAAAGGGGTCCCCAAGTGGAATGTCATCCCTTCTGACTTGGTTCTCTGCTCGTTCCTGTCGGGAGCTTCCCCTTGCAGGCACAGTAGGCAGGTATGAATCCCTGCTCCCAGGAAGGCTGGTGAGAGTCCAGAGCAGGTGGCAGGAGAGCCATCCGCCCTCGCCCTGGCCAACACTGGGTCAGCCACTGGCCCTCTGCTGATGACTGGCCCAAATGACACATCCACCCCCACCCCTGCTGGCCTGGCCACGGCCAAGTCCAGGAACAGGGTCTGGAGTTAACTGCCTGGGTAACTGTGTCCCTCTCTGCTAATGGGCAAAGGAAAGACTGCCCTGGGAAGCGGCCCAGCCGGGAGACAGGGCTGTGCCTGGAGAGGCCGACGGCACCCCGGAGCCACGCCGCAGGGAAATGCATGCCGAGGAGCAAGCTTGGGAGAGCCTCAGCCTGATGCTGGTGCTTCCGGCCACCACGCTGTCCGTCCTCACAGCAACACTCCCCAGCAGGCCCAGCCCAGCCCCGGGACCCAGAGACACCATTTCCATCCCACGATGTAAAAACTACAACCGGGGCACCCACTTCCACAGCAGCCCCAAAGAAAGCTGATGTCTCGTTGCTCTTCTCTTCCCTAACGATGCAACAGGTCCTTGGATGAAGCTGAGCATTCTTGTCATTGCTTCTCCTGTGTTTCCAAACCCCACGAGCCCCTAGGCTGGCCCGTTCCACTCGTGTCTGTGACCTGCCTGGCCCCCAAGGGCGCCTGCACTGGTGGCTCCCATCCTGGAAGGCCTGGTGGCCACCTAGTTCCTGGCCGCTGCAATCCTCGTGTCTGCAGCTGCAGTGAGCAGGTGGGACTGGGGGGACCGAGGGGCTGGGAAGTTCAGGTCTCATGTCACAGCTGGAGTCAGAAACCCTCCCTTCGTGCCCATAGAAGCTGGCAGGAGAAGCAACGACACGTGCACATAATGCGCACGGATCATGCGAGGTGCTGCCTGCCCAGCACACGCCTTGGTCCTGCCACCACAGCGCCCTCCCCGCAGTGGACAGGTCACTCTGGGGAGGGAGCAGGCTGGGGATGTCCATCCCCAAACGCCTCCGGGAGGCTACCAGGTGCCCAAACAAGTGGTGATCGCCCAGAGCAAGGCCAGGAAGTCATGCTAAGCAAGACCTTCAAACTGAGGCTGGCAAACCCCAAGTGGCCGCGCCATTCTGCCCTGACCTCCGGACAGCGCCTGAGGAGCTCACAGGCAGGGGCCTTCGTCGGAACAAGCCCAGTTCATCTGCAGTTCCCCTCAATATCCCCGCTTCCATTTGCCACTTTTTAATGAGGCTTAAACGGGTGAACACAAATCAAGGTTTTAGGGACTCAAGTTCTAACCTCCCTCTATGAATATTTATGTCCTGCTGACAGCTCTCTGATTCCCTTCTAAACAGCAAGCTCCCCTTCTACGGAACCCAGCCGCTTGATGCGGGCTGAGAGGGAGGCCGAGATGGTCAGGAGGCCCTCGAGCTGGCCACGAAGCCACCCTGCGACGCGACGCTGCCGGCTCTCCAGCTCCGGGCGGGCCCGGGGAGCTGGCCAGCGGGCACTCTGCCGCACTAGCCGAGGCCGAAGGGCCCCGGGCAGCTGTGACAGCATAAGGTGCTCCGCAGCACGCCGTCGCTACCACCACAGGATGGTTCTCACGGGCTCTTTGGGGAATAAAAAGTACGTAAGTTAATCTGCAGCGAGGTAAGCGAAGGCGACAGAAGTGGGGGTGCGAGGCGCAGAGACATCCCCTCTGCTTGCTGGCTGGCAGAAGCCCCTGGGGCCCGGATCTGGGCAGTTCTCTGATTCCAACAAGGGGCTCAGCAGGGAGGGGCCTGTGATGTGGAAGGTGAGGACCGTGGCACCTGCACAGGCCACCTACCCAGCTGGTGCAGGGCCTTGCCGGGGATGGATCTGGGGTGGGGCACCGGAGCCGGCACCGAGCTGCAGAGGCTGGGCCTGGCAGAACCCAAGGATGAGAGGACTGGAGTTTCATCCCAGGCAGAGCAGACCCTCGGGCAGTAAAAGTCCCAAAGGGATGACAGCAACTCCAGCGGGGCGAGGAGGTGCACTCCGAGGGCCTCGGAGACTCCCAGGGCTCCCTTCCTGCAGGCAGGACAGCCGACCAGCAGCGAGAGGCCAGCCCACGACCGGCTCGGGCTAGGATGGGCCTGGAAGCATGGCAGGGGTGTGCTGCCAGCTGTGAATGGGAGAGGCAAAGTCACACAACCAAGGTGGGGACATCCAAAGCCCTCAGCCAGCCAGGCACGGTGTGGGGGCAGGGGTGAGGGGCATGACAACAAGAGAGCCTACACTCAGATAACCCAGGTCCTGGGGTGGGCAATGTGGACACCTGCATCCCATATCAGGGTGCTGGGTCCAGTCCCAGCTCCTCCGCTTCCAACCAGCTTCCTGCTAACGTGCCTGAGAAGGCAGTGGGTGGTGGCCCATATGGGCCCCTGCCACCCCTGGGGGAGAACTGGATGAAGCTCCTGGCTCCTGGCTTTGGCCCAACTCAACTCTGGCTGCTGCAGGCATTCGGAGAGCGACGTAGCAGACAGAAGATCTAACTGTTCCTCCCTCCGTCTCTGTCACTCTGCCATTCAAATAAATCTTAAAAAATAAAAACCCAGGTCAATTGTTACACTGGGAAAAAGAGCAGAGTCCAAGA